GTTAAAATCGTTAGCATGCCCAGATGTAACAAGATTGCTTAAAACTCACTCAGTCCTGATGATCTTGCTATCTTCTCCTACTGCTTCAACTCCCCGATGACTGATACCCTTGCCTTTCGTCTTTCGACCAGCGAGAGTTTCCCCCTTGCCCTTGAAACTCTCCCAATGATCGCCACCTTTGCTTACAGCCGTTACACCAGGAGCAACGAAGCCACCACCTAATGATGAAGACGGTCGTGAAGAACTGGGACTCGACGAATTAAGGTCGATCTTCAATTTGGATGCCATAGTGGAAGGCGGGGCAGGTTTCGGACGCTCAGGCTCTACGTAACCGACTGGGGGAGCAAAATCGACCTCTAGGTCGGTGTCCAGTACGTTTATGCCACCTCCACCAGGTGTCGCCTCCATCACAAGAAAGCCGAAGATTATTGAGTTGTAATATATTTCAATTATATCACCTTGAGTGAGCGCAGTGAAATTTCGCAGAGCTTGCTCGAGCCTGATGGATATTAGCTGAGTCAGTGATGCCGGAATAGATGCACATACACAGCTTTTGGATCTGAAATTTCAAGGAAATGCGTAGATTGTGCCTGAAGCTTGACGAACTTGCCCTTCGGGAGTTCAGCACCAGTTATGCGAATTGGGTCACCTTCATTGAGACGCAAGGTCTTCATCATCCAGTAAGGGAGATGGACAATTCCCTCTTCAGCAATGAACTCGAGTACACCTGCATGTGTAGATGCGGCCGGATTGGTCGCATTTGTAAGTTGAAACATCCAAGGTCCCTCGAGATCGAGGTGAGTCAAATGTGCGAGGGCTGATGGAGGCATAATAACTACAATGAAATCGTTACTGCACGAGTTCAATGTACGATAAGATCCAATTACGTACTCTTTCCTCCGTACGAGAGATTCTCTCGCTCCCGGCCAGGAAGCATCGCTACACTGTAGGCCTTCAAGTACACGTTATACGAACGAGGATTTGGCCGGTTAACTCTAGAGACCATAGGAACTCCAAATCCTCTGGAGTGACATAGCAACTGGTCAGGTAACCTGACCCAGGAGCCAGAGAGAGGTAGCGTACTGGGCGAACTGAGCGAAAAGACCCCCTGGGCCACCTGCCATGCCATCCTGATCATCAAACTATAAGAGATGATCAGTTGCCTTGATCATTTCTGTTGTTAGATGCACCCACAAAGTTCATCTGAAAACGAGATCGTGAAGTGAAAGAGAGTAGCCAAAGTCAACGTTACTTTCAAGTCGAAGCATACGCATACCCAACGGCAAACCCCGTGACCACTAATTTAGCGGTACTCTGGTTTTGTCTAGTACGCGCATCGTCCACTGCTTAAAATCTATTGAGCCTTCAACGAAATCAAAATGGCATCAAAGATTGCACCAGCGGCACCTCAAGCAGCTCGTACGGGCTCAAATGCCGCGTTCAATGACAAGGTACTGGTCACTCATGATCGTGATGACTCAATAGAATGAACGCGTCCACAGGTCAAGCCAATGGAACTTCGGATGTCTAACTTGGTCGCTGCCAAAGGTACATGAAGAGTTTTGCTTGCGATCGTTTCGCATGATTGACTTTCTCGTAGCCATCAGCGATGCTGTTCGAACATCTCTCGGTCCAAGGGGGATGGACAAAATGGTATGGTTTGATTTTACTTCGTTGATGGTGAAGAGATGTCATATCGCGATTCATTTACATAGATTCAAACGTCAAAGGGCGAGGTCATCATCACCAACGATGGAGCAACAATTCTGAGGAGTATTCAAGCTCTACATCCTGCTGCCAAGATGGTGCGTGTCGAGCCATGATGCTGCTGATAACCTACTTATGTCAATTTAGCTGGTCGACCTCTCAGCTGCTCAAGATGTGGAAGCAGGTGATGGAACAACGTCAGTCGTTGTTCTAGCAGGCAGTCTTCTCGGGGCCGCGGAAAAGATGCTACAGAAAGGCATACATCCAACCATCATCGCAGAATCGTTTTTGAAAGCATCGGTCAAAGCAGTCGAATATCTCACTGAGATATCGACACCGATTGATCTCAGTGACAAGACCAGTCTGCTCCGAGCAGCAAGTACTTCCCTGAACTCCAAGGTGCCAAGGATTTTTGGATTTATTGTGGTCGCGCTTTGCTCACGCGCGCTTCAGATCGTCTCTCAATACTCATCGACACTTGCTCCCATCGCAGTAGCTGCTGTCACGCGTTTAGTTACACCTCAATCGTCCACTGTGGACCTTCGTGACATCAGGGTTGTGAAGAAAGTTGGCGGCACTATCGAAGATACTGAGCTTGTAGATGGTGTTGTCCTCAACCAAAATGTTATTGTCTCAGCTGGCGGTCCTACTCGCATGGAAAAGGCCAAGATCGCCATAATCCAATTCCAGCTCAGTGCTCCCAAACCTGACGTATGTGCTTTTCACTACTTTCGTCTCAGTTCTCATGGCGCCTCGTCAGATGGATAACACTGTTGTGATAAACGACTACCGACAAATGGACAAGGTCATCAAAGAGGGTCGTCAGTACCTGCTTAATATCTGCAAAAAGATCAAGAAGGCGAATTGCAACGTTTTACTGATCCAAAAGTCCATCCTTCGTGATGCAGTCGATGATACGTCCCTCAGCTTTCTTAAGCGTCTTAACATCCTTGCAGTCAAGGATGTTGAACGTGACGAGATCGAATTTCTTTCTAAGAGTCTCGGTTGCAAACCTATTGCCGACATCGAAGCCTTCACAGAAGACAAGCTTGGTTACGCAGATCTAGTCGAAGAGACTTCAAATGCTGGTATCAAGGTCGTCAAGATCACTGGCGTCAAGAACCGTGGTCGCACAGTTAGCATTCTGGCTACGGGTGGCAACAACCTTGTCGTGGAGGAATGTGAACGCAGTCTGCATGATGCTCTTTGTGTTGTCCGGTGTCTCGTAAAGAAACGGTGAGATTCGAGTGTCCCATTTCTATTGGTCAAGGTTCTGATCTAATAAAAAGAGCGCTCATCGGTGGTGGTGGTGCACCTGAAATCCACGTCTCCCGGCTGTTGTCTCAATACGCACAGTCACTCAAAGGCATGGAAGCCTACTGCTTCCAAGCATACGCAGACGCATTAGAAGTGATACCGACGACGCTTGCGGAGAATGCTGGACTCAACCCGATTGCTATTGTCACGGAATTACGCAACCGACATGCTCTAGGTGACCGAAATGCTGGTATTAACGTTCGCACAGTAAGTTGTTGCAGCCTTGAGTTACTTCCATCATTTGACCATATACACCTTAGGGCCTAATCTCGAATATTCTTGAGGAGGATGTTGTTCAACCTCTTCTCGTCTCTACGAGCGCGATTGAACTCTCGACAGAGACTGTGTGCTTACTTTTGAAGATCGATGACTATGTACAAGCAAGATAATGAGACGTTCAAATAGACATCGTTGGCTGTCTTCAGTATAACAATAATGAACGAAGCAAAAATGGCACACTCACTGCACCTTTGTTCATTGACGCACGCTCGAGTAAGTTCCTTCGTGCAGATGCTGACCGTAGGCAAAATGTCTAAATATGTTATGGAGTAAAAACACCAGAAATAAATAAAATCGCAGGTGATTGATGCATTGATGATCTGGAGGATGTCCTTTCTGTGACAAGGGATGCAAAAAAAATGCCAGGACCGTGGATTGAACACGGGACCTCCAGAACTTCAGTCTGTTGCTCTCCCAGCTGAGCTACCCCGGCTTCAATTATGTTCAGGCTTATGGCATCTTAACCTAAAAGGGGATGTACTGCCTGCTATTGCCATCACTTACCGTCAGCACTCCCCACAACAATGTCTGGAGCAGGTCCTAGGGAGAATGTCTTCGCTACGCGTATGGCCTTGACAAACACAAAACTCCGTTTAAAGGGAGCTGAAACCGGGCATTCGTTGCTGGCAAAGAAGCGTGATGCCCTGACCACGCGATTTCGTGCCATACTGAGGAAGGTGGATGAGGTGTGTTACACTACCTGATGTTTGCTTGTTCAGGTTGCTGATGATTAAATCATAGGCGAAGCGCAAGATGGGTAGAGTGATGCAGCTGGCCTCGTTCTCGATGGCAGAGGTCACATATACTACGGGAGATATTTCCTATATCGTTCAGGAGCAAGCGAAGCTTGCCACTTTCCGTGTCAAAGCGAAGCAAGAGAATGTTTCTGGTGTTCTTCTCCCAGGATTCGAAGTTGATCGCGTGCCGGGATCTGGTAGTTGCTTTGGAACTTCTATACATTTTTATTCTAATGTTCGCATCACAGACTTCAATTTGACAGGTCTTGGTCGGGGAGGCCAACAGGTTCTACGAGCAAAGGAGGTGTACGCTAAGGCTCTCGAAACGCTGGTGGAACTTGCGTCGCTACAAACGGCGTTCACCATCTTGGATGAAGTTATCCGCGCGACAAACCGGCGAGTGAACGCCATTGAACATGTAATCATTCCGCGGTTGGACAATACCATCAAATATATCATGAGTGAGCTAGACGAAATGGATCGCGAGGAGTTCTTCAGGTGAGCGCATCAAGTCTACTGGTCAAGCTTAGACGCCGATGATGCTTGTAGACTCAAGAAAGTTCAAGGCAAGAAGAAGAGGGATGCCGGGAAGGCAGAAATGCAAGCTATAACCGACAAGGAGGAATCGTTGAAACAGCTGGATGAACAACAAGAGCCAACAGTGGACTTGCTGAGTACCAAGGATGCGGATGTCATTTTCTGATCGATAGTTAGTACCGCAATGTACTATTTGTGTTCTATGCAAGCTGCAAGGGTAATTTGGATCAATCTGTACACTATTGCCCAAGGCAGCTGTCTCAAAGTATAGCAGGAGGATCATGGTGCATATCATGTGCGATAGTACGCATAGATACATGGTGGTTTTGTGAATGCAATAAGGAAAGCTGAGGACAGTCGATGCGCCCACAGGAAATCACTGGAAGATGAGGACAAGTCAGCTTTTATGGCCAATTGTCAAATCTAATTATGGTCACTTACATCCACGATCTCGACATCCTCAGTAGCGGCAGGTTGTGCAGTCTTTGATCTGTCTTTACGATCAAGGATTGCCCGACTACGGAAGAAGCTTCAGAATGATGAACATAAACAAAACATAGATTACCCACCGATCCTTGTCAAGCTTGATGGTGGTAATCACGACTTTGCTGGGGTGGATACCGATGGGAGAAGTAGCACCGTTGGATTTGTCGCGTTGCACACGGTCAACATGAATGACCCATTTCTTGCGGTACACCTGTGTGACCTTTCCTTCCCGGCCCTTATATTTCCCCCGCAAAATCCTTACTTCATCATCCTTGCGGATCGGTAGTGACCGCGTCTAGTAAGTAGAATAAACACCGCGCGCCTCATTTCTCAACAGATCCAACGTACGTTGTATTTCGCCCGGAGTTCTTTGGATAGGGATGACGACATGATCTTGCGGCGGACCGAGGAGGGTGCGCTGAAATGGGCCTTGCGGTTCTTGCGCCGCGAAGAGGAGACGTCTGTTGTGTAGACTCATTCGTCAGTAAGCTATTCACCCCACAGATCTCATCCAAGTCTCAGAGTCTCCATCCAACTTCTCCTGTGCATAAAATTTGACTCCGAGGCGATAGACAGGTAGAATGGACACCAGTGAGTACAAAGATCGTACTGACCAGGGTTGTACTTCATCTTGATCTTGAGGAGGACGTCGATAACGGTGTCGGGCAGTTCGATTTGGGTGTATGGAACGAATTGTTTGGTTCAAAGTTTGTTCGTCGGCATTTGCCGCATATACCACGGCATTATGATGCAGCTTCTTTACCTGCACACATTTCGCCGCGTGTAGTCGATGGAGAAAGTTCGGTCCACGCAGCTCAAATTCAAAGGGGACAAAATCAAGAAGAAGCGCAAGAGAGAACACCACGATGAAGGCTCTGCCAGCAAACGTGTAGAAGATGAGGACCCGGAAACATGGGTCCTACCGGAGAATGCAGCAGAAATTCGCGGGCCTACTTTCATCATACACCCTTCTGATCCTTCGCCGATATCAGTGAATTTTGATTCTACAAGAAACAAGATTGTATTGTCATCTCTGGACAAGGACTCAACATCTGATACCGATACCCCATCATTACTCGATCGCATACCTACAGAGGTAGCTCAGGTCTGGGTTACAACGCGCGTCGCGGGATCGGCCACTATCAACCTTCGGACGGGCACTGGCGAAGGAAAGTTCCTGTCTTGTGACAAGCATGGTATTGTGAGTGCTTTTAGGGAAGCGCGAGGGCCCGAGGAGGAGTGGACACCTGTTATTTTACCCGATGGCATGGTAGCCTTCATGAACGTGTATGAAAATTATCTCAGTGTTGACGAGGTCGCAGGAGGTTCACTCCAGCTGCGAGGTGACAGTGAAGAAGTCGGGTTTCGGGAGCGGTTTTGGTTAAAGATCCAAAGCAAGTATAAGAAGGAGGCCCATGAGGAGAAGAAGAAAAGAGAAGCGGGTTCAGAGTTGACAGTCATAGACGAAACTTCCACCAAGTACGTTTCGCTTAGGATGAACTGGTTTGTGATCTGAAATATTCCAAAGCCATATGCACCAAGCCTGGGGAGCTGGACGTTCGGTGGTGTCTAAAGAGGATAAGAGGGAGGTTCGTTGACATCCATATTTTATGCGATTATCAGTAACATTCTGAATAATGCCTCAGCTCAAGCGAGCACGCAAGGAAGGTCGCTTGGCAGAAGCATTGCTGGACCGACGAGCGAAGTTAAAGAGGTATGTTCTAATCCATTCTGGATGTATCTCTCATCTGATTTTACCACAGTGATCGATTTTGTTGAGACCTTGTGCCGAATTATCAATTCCGCATGTCGGACTCGTGTATCTTTGTAGTGTACTTTTATATTTACTCGTGGGCATTTCCCGTGACGGCTCGCGCGCGTGTCGCATCCAAAGGCGGAATAAAGGGGGGTGTATAAGACATCTTCCTTTGTAGCCCTTTGTGTTATCATTCATTGCCAGCCCCAGACATGCGCACAGAACTTTTCTTCATCTCTCAACCCGCGAGACGATGTAAGGATGTCCGAGAGGTAAAATCAGCATCCAGGATGAATTCATGGCAGTGGCAGAGATTGCGTGTACGTACCAGACAGATTTCTGAGTATCTAGTTAACTGATTTTGAGTCAAAGGCTCTCGTCATAGATGCAGCCGCCAGGTTTCTCAATACACAATGTAGATATGAACACCAGGATCCCGAGATGGTTCGTTTGTTCTACCAGGCGGTGAGCTTCGATCGATTCTTCTGTTGCATTGTTTCATTACTCCATCCTTTGTTTCAGGTTCACGCTACATGGCCAGAAGTTGCAGCGAAATACCCCAATTCATGGGTTCTGGTCTGGTATCTAAGGATATATCTGTTGAAACGAGTATATCGGAAACGGTGGTCTGATAAAATCGCTCGTGAGAAGGCTGCCAGCCAACTCAGACGACTTCGCACAAAAGTATGCTCTGTACTTTGTATCACCAGATAGTTAGATTCTGAAAACACCCCGCAGAACACAAATCAATCGTCCGTCCGTCAAGTCGATACCTGTGCTTCACAAGCCCGTGTATCCAGAAGAACTCGAGGGAGGGCTATTACCTGTGATCGACCTGTTTCCCCACCTGGTTCAGAAATTACCGTGTCACCTGCAATGCAATGCTCTGCTGTCATCGCTCACCAGCACAGCGGGAGCTCATCTTCTCCCGCCTCAGCACAATCGCACAGCATAGTACCCATTCAAAGCTCTCATGCAGTTTTTCGGTTTCTCGACTCGATGACACCCAGTCTGGTAAAACTTGTTCCGGATTTCCTTTCTGCTGGGATTTATGATCAGAGCCATCTGGAGGACTTCTTTACGTGGCCCGAGAAGGCTCAACGTAACTTTCTTCTCAAGACATTTGTTGGAAAAATGAACGCGTTGGAGTTAGGAGCAATGCTAATAGCGTTGAATTGTAGACGCCATGGCTAAGTTGATGCTACAACTTGTTCAATGGTCACAACTCTGATCATGATGTCACTTACGATAACCTTACGAGACTTTGTTGTCTTATGTAAATAGTGGCTGCGTAGGTTCTTCAACAACGTCAAACAGGAACATGCAATTACTTCATTGTAACACTCAGTACTTAGTACGCATCCGTAACATTCTATCGCACTACAGCACTAGTACTGAGGAATTCTGTCCACTTATCCATCTTTCCGGACGTTTAATATAAGATGGGAATTGAATCACAGAGCGACGAGACTGTGTCGGTGACGCCCGAGATGGTTCCATTCACCAATGGTCTTTCACCTCAGAGCTTATTGCTACTTTCCTTGGCGCTGGTCGTGGGTTTACTACTTGGTACGTTTCGGAAGACTTGATTTTGGAAGAAGTTCTTACACTTTGAAGTTATCACATTCTCTCGAAGAAAATCAAGGTCCAGAGGTACCGCACTTCTCCTTGTCGGGCCTTCAGATGCTGGCAAAACAGCTATACTTTCTACTGTTTGTGACATATCATCGAAGTCATATCGATTGTCTAACTCTAAACCAATTGTATCTAGCTCGCATTTACTGGAACGCTACCATCGCACACGTCACTGCAAGTCAATACTTCTCTCATGCCTCTCTCACCAGTAGGCATCTTGCCGGTGATCGACATCCCTGGGCACCCTCGAATTAGAGATCAATTCCAGGAGCACTTAGTGAATGCCAGAGCAGTTGCTTTTGTAGTGGATGCAAGTACCATATCACGCAACGGGTCTACAGTAGCAGAGTGCGTATATTTGACTCTCTCATGCCCACAGTAATTCTAACGCAGGTGCGACGTCTAGACACCTCCATCATGTCCTTCATGCCATAACGTCGCTTCCTCCTTCACATTTAGCACCCGCACTCCTCATCCTCGCTAACAAGTGCGACCTCATGAAGACAGCTACGTCTTCAGGCTCTCCCATCGAGGTTGCCATTTCACGCGTGCGAACGATTCTTGAACGTGAGCTGGAGAAGCGACGAGAGGCTCAGTCCGGCGGCATGGGGGTCGAAGGCTTGGGCGCTGAAGGCGAACGTTCTGATATAGGAGGCCTGGATTGCAGTGGTCCTGGCGGAATCTTCAAGTTTGCCGATTGGGAAGGCGGAGAAGTCGATTTTGCAGGAACATGGGTAAACGTCGGAGAGCTTAAGGATGATGAAAAAGAAGGAGTGACTACTGACGGCCTAGCCTCATTGCGGAGTTGGCTGGGAGCAACTTTTACTGTGACCTAACTCCGATGATCGTGATTTTTCTGATACAAGATACTCAAAACTTGGGCCCAAATTCTAGGATGGTCTATTAGCAGTTGAATCTCATCGGAACAATTGTCCAGTGTGGTGATTCATATAATACTATGACTCCGTTCATTTAAAATTCAAATGGATTGGTTTTCAGGGAGGTTTGGCATGGTATCCGGAGTATACAAGTACAAACAAATGATGGTATAAATTGCTCGAACAATTCCTGGTTGATCTTCACCGCAGCTTTTTAGACAGTGCCCGTTCTACCATTATTCAGGAAGAATGACGGCGATTCGGTAATGCGAAGAGTACTTTGGATAGGATTATGAACGCACGCATCTTATCTGTGTGGTGTAGTGGGTGTCAGACCTCTCCAACATCTCGTCCTTATCATCTTCGTTACGGTTTGCCACTTAGTGTTTGCATGTAGAAATGCGATTCCGGATACATACCATGCGTGCTCATCGCACCATACTTTATAAGAAACAGATGTGAATAGGCATCCAAGTACATCTATCAACATCTCCTTCTCTTCACTCGCCTCGAATTTGCGTGTTCCTCAACCGAACTTATGACATCCGAGCCCTCCTCGAGCAAACTCGGGACATCGTGCGCGACAGCCACAGCAGTAGCGGCAGCGGCTATAGCAGCCACAGCAGCGCCCATCAAGATGACTTTTTTCTGCATCTCAACCTCGTTCTGAGTCTCGCTGTGTTTTCGTTTGGATGATGACGACGACGTCAATGTTGAGGCACCCACATTCATGATAGATGTGGCAGGCGTCGGGGGTTCAATACCAAACGAAGAGAAGGCTTTCAAATCCGCGGTAAAAAGTACCTAAGGAAAAGAGAATCAATAACTTGAAAAAAGGAAGGCAACTTCGAATAGACACGTGCAGTATGGGCCCAACCGGCATATCCACCCCAAATATCGGCAAGCTTAGTGGTCACTTCATTGTAGATTCGAGGCGTCATGGCACTTTTTCCTTTGGAGCCGCCTACGGTACGTAGTCCGTAATGCTTGATAGCAATCTGGTGAACGTGAGTGTCCACTGGAATTACTTCTTTCTAGGACGGCATAGATTCAGGATCAGATACAAGAGTAACCAGGCTTGACTTACTTTGTCCAAGCTCATGAGAAGAACGCAGTCTGCTACCTTGCGTCCAACGCCGACGAACTTCAGAAGTTCTTCACGAGCAGCTTCGGTGCTCATGCCTCTCAATCCGGTCAACCACTCTTCACATTTCTCTCGCGACTTGGAGTTGGATATCGAGGAACCGTGAGTATCCACAAGCATTTTCGCAGTGCGCTGAATATAATCAGCACGGTAGCCAAAGCCCAAACCCCGAAGAGTGGACTTGACTTCAGGAGCAGCAAGGAGTGAAGGCGGGGGAAAGGAGTGATACGCTGCGGAACCTTGAGAATCACTTTCACTGAGCTCGGGAGATGGCAAGGAAATCAGGGAAGGAGAGTACTGTTTGCAAAGAGCGTGCACCATCTTGGTAATCCGGGGAATGTTATTGTTTGAAGAGCAGATGAAACTGACATGACGAAAACCTGTCAAGCCTCTGAGCCAGTTCAGAAGTAGACCACGCACGATACTAGGTTCTCCCAAGGATCTTGTCTCAACACCCGGATCCCAGAAAAGCGAGATTTGAGTTTATTAAAGACTTGATCTCGGTCACTCCACTGGTCGTAAAGCTTCAGCAAGTCGACATCGAGCTGAAAATAGTCCTTGAGCCAAATTAATGTTTCTTCGTCGCTAGCTGCCTCCTGTTCTGCAGAGAGATGCTCGCCCGGAAAAACAGAGCGATAGAAAAGATAGTCAGAAGACTGTCTTAAGCATACTACGCGGTCCCTCAGGCACAGACGGTACTCGTGAGTAGGAGATGTGCCAGGGGACGAGGGTAAGGGGTAACATGTCCAGCGAAATGACTGGCCGCATTTCAAAAACTGCTAAGGAGAGCTGTACGTCTGACAGTGGCAGAGCACAAAACCCAGCAAGAACTGAGGAAGCCATAATCAAAATCGCTAGAAGGCTAAGCAGATTGTATTCTTTGTCCTGGAAGTCAAGCGTCAGAGTACGACCGAGGCAACTCTCAAGGCGAACACGAGTGTGTGATTGGTAAATACTGTGGTTTCTGAATCCCCCCGGGCCTAGTAAGCAGACGCGGGTCACGGAATATTAATTTGGTGAATTCACAGCCACTACCATATGCATTCGCTTCATCACTAACTCAGCTATATGCCTTCAGAAGGAGATACGTTTCTTCCCAGAATACAAAGCGTGTTCTACGCCGTATTCGATTTACAGAAGGGACCCAAAATTGTATATCAGGTTCCAGAAGGTCTCATCGCGGGATCGATAGCTAATCAAACCTCTAACCATTCGGTCACCTCTTCCCCTTCGCCGTCGATAGGTGCGGCCATATTGGAACCAGATGTAACGCCTTCGCGAAGGTCAAGCCCTTCTGTTAATTCTCATGGTGGTCGACGTGCGAGTTCTCTCAACGTCCCGTCGCCTCATCATCGCTCTTCTTCCTCCAGTCGTGTTCTGTTCAATTTCGATGACATCTCAAAGTATGTGATACCTCCTGGAGAGCTTTGTGGGCGGCTGGTTATATGCGCCAGCCGGAAATACCGTATCATTGGCTTTCCTGTTCTACTTCCTGGCAATTACCAGCGGAACTACTTCCAGTACAACGTCTGCTTTGTTTTCGAGCGGTCTGCGGATTTAAGTTGCTATGAACCAATAGTTCGCAAGGTCAGCCGTGTACTGACGGCCTGCGAGGTCAGCTCTTTACCTTACACGAAAAACCCCTGTGTTTATGAAATTGTAGGAAGAGTCATTTTTCCTCTCAAAATCATCGCCAGCCATGCATGCCATCCTCGAGCAGCTATACGAGGATCTTAACTCTTATTCTGAAACGTCGATTCCAATCGATGCCTTCAACTCAATAGAGCTGAAAATCTTTCCTTTTTACCCTAATCCACCCCCAGTAAAAGATTGGCAGGTGCCTCTGGCTCTGATCAACTTGTCCAAGCGCATAGAAGATAATTGGGATCTAACGATGAGCAAGGTAGGCCGGATTTGTTTATCAACCGACTGTCTTGACATGCATTAAGGTGTGCAGACATATTGATGGTGTGAATCACGTCAGTCGCATTGCACACCTAGCCGACTGTGATATAGAGCTTACCCGTCAAGCAATATCTCACTTACTGTAAGATATTTCACTCCGACTTTCGATCCGTCCTCATCAGTCTCGCAGTTACTATCAAGTTATCATGATTATCGACATTTTCCAGTACTCTAATATGTACACTCTTCGTAAGAATGTGCAATGGCTTGCGGACGAGTGCCATGTCAAGGACGAATGTGGACCATATGTCACAAAGCACGCACCCGGTCTGTACATCCCTTCCACGGAAATGTCTAACTCACCTGTGAACAGGAAGAGTGGTACCAGATTGGCCGAAACTTCTGCACTTATATTCGCGGCTCAAGTCGGGAAAAACGGTACTGGATTGGATGGAGACCTACAATGTCTATGAACTTGGCATTGACGTTCGACGTTTCACAAGTTTCGGGGTGATCAAGGTATTTCGTAGCAATTGTTCTATGTTCTTGAATTCGAAGTCCTTTCAGGGCTTTCTACGGCGAGTTCATCGTTGGCCAATCTTACTTCCTGTGGATGTACCGTCACCAACTCGCAGAAGAAGGCAAAGCCTCTCATCTTCCGCATCGAACGCAAGTCCTACGAGTTCTTCGGCTCCAATTGGGGAGACCCCTCGATTTAGTGGCCGTCCCGATGCGTCTGGTTTTGCACCTATGCTTGGTTCTCCCATAAACCAGGTGGAGGTCACACGAGCCCAACAACGAACAAGCGCAGCAGAAAAGGTTCTCGAGCAGCTACGTTTCAAAACACTCCCGCGGGCTGGACCAAATCCTATTATGCGACAACCTCCTCCTCTTTCCCCAGAGGGCTCCGAGCGCAATCACGAGCGCCGTAGCCGTGTCCTGTCTGATACCCGAAGACACTCAACTTACCAACAGCCCACGAGTCATGTGCCACCACCATCTAGTGTTACTGGGAGTCAAAGCATTGCGCAGCGCAATTCGTCGGAATCCCAGAACGCCTTTTCTGCAAGACCACGACTATCACGGTCCCCTTCTACTTCTCGTACTCGGCCCCTAAATTCACAAGGCTCTTCGGGTCCAATGAATATTCCTCCACCCCCTGAATTATTGCCACTTCTCGATGGAGATCATCATACAGATGAACTTTGTACGCGCTTCGAAGTCGGATGGCCTCAATTACAGCAATGGCTAGTGGCTATTGGAGGCGGCAAAGGCGATGGAGATGGAGATTTCGGGAGAGTGTCCATTATTTATCGTTGATATGCGTCTGCCATACGAATACGACGCGCTTTTGTAATCTCGGTGAATCGTTCATGTTTGCTTTTTTATCACGACGGAATCCTAAATGAAATTCTAGGTGAATTTTGCTGGGAGTTTCGTATAGAAATTTTGAGCGATCGATCAATCTAGCACACGAATGTCCATTGCATGGTATTATAGAGCACGAATACATATACTTTTACTGAACAGCTTGCTACGCTAGTGACCGGTTCACATTCACGTAGCCAGTTCCAAGACACGAGTAAAGTAACTCAGTGTTGGAGGAATCTACGGGTGTAATATTGAAGACGGTGCCGAAGAAGACCTTGATATCACGGAGAAATTGAACGCTGTCATGATGTGAGCCATAGAACCAGGAGAGTTGATCATCGCGCACGTTCTAACGGAGGGCTCTCCCATTCTGCATTGACCAATATCTTCACTACCTAGAACCATCATCAACAGGACTAGAGACTGGTGTTTTCTATCAACACATCCTCCATTTCTGATCTCTGACAAAAGGGCTCTAGTTGCCAACAGAGCTATATCTTCAGGGGTTTCGCCTGGTGAGGATGCAGCTTCAGAACAATGTATAGCAGACGTGGTGGACTCCGCAAGTAAGCTGAGTGCATATCCCGGCGACCTTCATGCAGGATTAATAGAGTGGAAGTATGTTCAATTAGCCCACATACTTTCCACTTTCATCTCCTTTGTAAACATCGGAGTACAGGTAAATGTCGGGAATGAACCGGTTGAGAACCGAACGTGATGCGTCGATCATACGATTAGAGAACTGCGGATTAACACGGACGGAGTGTCTGGGAGAATACTTCAGTGTGGAATGCCTTTCATGAAAAGGTAAGATAAACGCACGCAATGCCTCGGATTCGTTTTATCTTTCCAGGATCAACAAAGTTCAGAGTTTTCACTTCTTTAACAATAGGACAGAGGAACTGTACTTCCCCTCCACCTTCTGGAGGAGCACCACGTCTCTTTATCTGTACAAGCATATGAAGTGCAATTTCACAGATCGAACAATTGGCTCACCCGAAGCTCCAACCCATCAGAGATACCGAAAAGTTGGAGATGCGGTAGTGTCACGGTACGGATGAGGTCAACCTAACGCCGTTAGAAGGCATTTTATTCCGATATAATTTGGCTTACAGAAAGATCATTATCATCCGTTGTTATGCCTCGCAATGTCAGCTGAAACGGCTTCTTTGAGAAGGGCGCGATCATGACCAGTGGTTCCAAAAAATAACCTATTGAACGTGACAATGGACAATCATGAGTAACAGGACCGCCAGACACGACTCCTGGTTTGAGAAGTACAGCGGTACCTTGAAGGCATATAAGTGAGTTCCAGCGTAATGAACAGTAAAGTAAATCGTACCGGTCACTGAGATTTCAATGACGGACCCATTGGTGACTTTTTCGAGAAGCCGCAGGAGGCTGACTTCGTAGTCTGGGCGATGGCACTACTCGTCAAGAAACGCCAGACTGCAAAGAACTGAACATACCTCTCAAACCAGGATCCTTATCCTCGGAGCGTATTTTATCAATTCGAACATGCTTTCCGGTGAGAATGGAGAGTACTAGACGTTGTCGCAAATATTGGTGTCCACTGAAGTTCACCAATGATCTTGACTCCATGGATGTAAACCTCGAAGAGACTTTTACATTACATAAGGAAATATTGATCGCGTCCAATCCGCTGCTAGCTGCTGGCAGAACAAACATATAGCTCGACTCCCTTTCACTCCCCTTAATGGCCACGGAAATACATGTGAACGGTGCAGCGACTTCAAGCGACTGGCAAGATCGATATTACCATGTTGACCAGATCCTTGATAGACCTGGCCCCCGAACTGATCCATCATTCCTGGCAGGGGATGAGGTGAGCATCTCACAAATGTTAAGACAACTCAGTTTTGAAACATGCTCTAAAGGTGAAGGACTTTTTGCGGAACAAGTGCAAGATTCTTGTCATCGGCGCGGGTGGTTTAGGATGCGAGATACTCGCCAATCTTGCTCTGACTGGGTTCAAGGATATCCATCTCATCGACATGGACACTATCGACATCAGCAATCTCAATCGTCAATTTCTCTTCAGGTACGTCATATTTATGAAATTGAATGTATGTGCGGCCTAGGGATCAATTTCCTTAAGACCCGCAGACGTTGGAAGACCAAAGGCCATCGTTGCTGCAGAGTATGTGATGAAACGGGTGCCGGGAGTCAAGGTCACACCGTAAGTCGGCAATTTATTGCGGGCCGTGCGCATCATCTCTAATATACAAGGCATGCAGGTACTACGGCAAGATACAAGACAAGGACGACGATTATTATATGCAATTTAACCTCGTCATCTGTGGTCTAGATTCTGTGGAAGCACGTCGATGGATAAATGCAACTCTCGTTAACCTAGTGGATTCTGAGAATCCTGAAAGTTTGAAGCCCCTCATAGATGGTGGTACTGAAGGTGAGTATGTCTCTTTTACCTTCTGCACGACCTTAATAGCTGTGAGAAGGTTTTAAGGGGCAAGCTCGAGTCATCCTTCCGACTGTATCATCATGCTATGAGTGTTCGCTTGATATGCTCAACAAGCCAACCACCTTCCCTATCTGCACCATCGCGAACACGCCCCGTCTCCCTGAGCACTGTATAGAATGGGCCTCTGTGCTTGAATGGCCTCGCGTGCGCGGAGGTCAGTCTTGCTGCACGTCCCATTTTTCTTCTATTTCACATGAAAGTAGATGAGAAACTCGACACTGATGATCCTGAGCACATCGGGTGGTTGTATTCAATTGCTGTTGCTCGTGCAAAGGAATTCAAGATTGAAGGCGTGACTTGGTCACTTACACAGGGTGTTGTCAAGAACGTCATTCCTGCAATTGCATCCACTAATGCCATCATCGCTGGTATGTAAGCACCCACTCTACTACTTGATCTGTCTGATGGTAGTGTTCACAGCTTCATGTTGCAATGAGGCCTTTAAGATTGCAACAAGTTCAGCGGCTTATCTGAATAACTACTTCATGCTCATTGGGACCGAAGGAGTGTATTCATACACCTTTGAGCATGAAAAGCGCGATCATTGCCCTGTTTGTGGAGGTGAAGCCCTGGAGATGTCCATAAGTCGAGATTGGACTGTCGAGCAACTCATTGAACTGTTGACTGAGAAGCAGACGATGTATGTGTTCATTCGTCATTGACATCCATGGCTCACTCTGGTGTAGTCAGATTAAGAAACCTTCTCTTGCGACACCGGAAAAGCCGATTTATTTCCAACAACCACCCCAGCTGGAAGAATCTACGCGCCCGAACTTAGAGAAGAAAGTCTCTGAACTTGTCCCTGATGGTGGAGAAGTTGTGGTCACTGCTTCGAGTCTGCCTTTCAGCTTGTCGCTCATCATCACTTACACGTGAACTTAAAGGTACAGCATCTTACATTTCTGCATGGTTATCCGCAATGTAGCAGTAGACATTTGAATGCAAGCATTATCACGGTTTGTTTACGAGTAATCCTACCTCCAAGTCAGACTTGTGGTTGTGCGTCATAGACAGGCAGTTGCGAAAGAATTTGAGGATTTCAAAGAAAACATAATGTCATAGCGCCAAAATATTGCGATGTGCTGACATTGCGATTACGTAACATCACTTGGTCTTCGAGTGAACTTCATCGACATTGTTGCTTATAAGTATATCCTAACGCCCATTCACCGAATAAGATGCCCAAGGCAGATATCAACAAGGCTGGTTGGGAACAAAGTGAATTCCCCATTCTTTGTGAAACATGTGCGCTGTCATTTTTTAAAGCTGACTAGACCAGAAACTAACGCGCTTGACCAGGTCTGGGACCTAACCCGTTCATCCGAATGGTCAGTGTTGAGTCCCATAATCAACACAAAATGCTGACCGCCTAGCTTGATGATTAGTCGAAACAAGAGTTCGGTCGCTCGTGTGGCACATGTGCTCGTCCATTCACGGTTTTCCGATGGAACCCAGGCTCCGGCGCACGGTACAAAACTACTGTGATATGTCAGACGTGCGCCAAAGTGAAAAATGTCTGCCAAACGTGCCTTCTTGATCTCGAGTACGGACTACCTACTCAAGTTCGAGACACCGCCCTTGCCATTCAAAACGAAGCACCAACCAGTGACATCAACCGGGAGTACTACGCGCAGAACATGGAGAACAAGGTGCGTTGATGTCTAGCATACGCCCACGTGCATGTTGTTAAGTCATACTCAGATGGAGGACGGAAATCAATCCCTGATGCAAGTCGGGACTCGGGCTACATCTGCTGGGAAGGAAATGCTGAAGCAGTTAGCTCGGACAAACCCATACTATAAGCGCAACCGCCCACACATTTGCTCCTTCTTTGTAAAAGGAGAGTGTAACAGAGGAGACGAGTGCCCGTTCCGGTGAGCTCACATACAACGTCCGTCTCGCTTCAATGCCTAATAAAGCTTGCTTCACCAGACATGAAAAACCTGTTGAAAATGCGCTTTCCCAACAAAATATTCAGGATAGATATCATGGTAACAATGACCCAGTAGCACGAAAAATATTGGCCAATCATTCAGAGGCGCAAGGTCTGAAGCCACCAGAAGACGAGAATGTTGTGAGTGAGGTTTCCCCTCTCTCTGGTGCTGTATTTGAAGGTTTGGCACAACAGACCTCTCTATTCCTTTCCTCTCTCCCTGCCTCTGCTACAGAACTCAGCATACGGACTGATGTCATCAATTCATTACCTCAAATACCTTCGTCACAGTTGCGGTCGGTCGTCCACGTCGCAAAATCACGGTGCACTAGGGTCTGCCTTTCAGTGGTGTTTCAAAGCTAAGACCTATTCTAGATGTGCATTCATCAACTTCAAAGACCGATATTCTGCTGAGAGGGCAGCAGAAGCTTGGGCGAATGGCCTGGACATGGATAGCGAACGAGTCCATGTGAAGTGGGGAAGGAGCAAGGGTCCTTCCAAGTCGGCAACGCCTACCGCGGGACCATCAGCAGTTCCTGCACCTGCGTGAGCCTTTTGTCCTTGCAGGAAGGAATGCGTCCATCAGATGACATGAACTGTGTCTGTATCATTCCATTTTGCGATCTTATACTACTTTGACTAGGCTTGTTATTATTTACTCTATTGTAGTTGGAGTGTATGATGTACATTATTCGTATTGACTGCGATCAAGCTGCAATGATGTACATACGCATACGTTGTGCATACGTATTGCATTCGACATTAGGCTAGCCTAGAGTGACATTAGGTAAACAGAATTGAACGAATAAACAGATGTGATGTAAAACTAATGATCCTTAGTGATTGTAGCTTTCAGCATCCAACGACTTGTGATGGATCACATCACCTCACAAGCAAGCCACCGAAACCCATAAACAAGAGCCAAGCTGCATACTCCGCGAAACCAATACCAGCATATAGAGAACGTCCGAAGTTGACTAGAGCAGGACCAGCTGAAATCAAGGTTTGGTAATATTGCTGCCAAGGTCCACAGGCAACGTACGGCAAATACCAGCGATCCCCCAGCCAATCCCAAATATCACTGAACCAAGTATGAGCCTCCAGTCGATTTTTAGGGAGGTCGGGTTGTTCCATTTGCCACCAAGCTTGGGTTGCTCTACACGTACATACCAATAGAGCAGGGTAGCCAGAGGCAGAGCACTTCCTGCAACGAACGCCAGGGTCGGGTCAAATGCTGAGGACAACGGTAACGCCAAGAATGTCAATACTTTGTGTGGATCGATCATATTGCCAAGGAAGAGGGAGAACGCGAAAGCCAACGATGTCAAGAAGCTTGCCAGATAGCGAAGAATGAACTTTGGAATGTTTGGCACAAGATTAGCACAAGAATGTATTTATCGGCTCACGAGTTTTGAACTGTTGTCAGTGCCATTCTTGATAGCCAAGCACGTGTAAGCAAGCCACAGGGTCCCAAGGGAAAGAATTGCGCCCAGAAATTGTCGTCCCTGGTTATCGAGGGTCCAATCCAAGGATCCACGTGTTCCAAGAGCGCCATGAGCGAAGTGGGTTGTAGCTACAGCAATTGCGAAGAATGTGGTTGTCGCCACCAGGGAACTTTGAATACATTGAATCTACAGACACCGAGATTCTAGGCGAGTTTAAAGCATACCGGAGAGAAAATCGAGACAAGCCACAGATCATATGGCTTGAGAAATAGTCAGACGCGTGCACATGACAGGAATACCGAGGAAGCGAACCCTGAGGTGCATCCGTTGGCTAACTATGGACCAATTGCGGAATGAATGATTACACCTTTGGAGAAAGGAAAAGCTAAACATACCCTGGTCCCAATACCGACGAGCAATCCAGAAAACATCATTTGGCCAAGCGAAGACACAGTGCGGGGCTCCGGGGTGTCCGCATTACTGATGATACCGACTGCAATGCCACCCAGAACCAGACCTACGATGGAAGCCATCGCCGCTTTATCTCCTCTAAGGGAGCGGTGAACAAAGCCAGAGACCCCAAAAACAGATCCATTTAGCACCAGAAGAGAATGAACAGACAGCGCAATGCCAATCCCCCCTAAGAGGCCTTGCAGGGGTTTGGGACGGGACTCCGCGATCTCAGACTGGTGGAGCAACATAATAGGGATTGTTGTTGTATGAGGATTTGCCGATTTGCTGCGACATTTTTCGAAGTCCGATTGATATTGTACAGGAAATAAAATAGAATACAGTACATAGTTAGTCCTGGCTCTTGACAACATGAATTTGACATGAATCACCCAGTACTCATCATTACTACGTAGCATACCAGAAATGTGCTTGGAGGATCAGGCCGGCATCAGGACTCGTCGGCGAGTGCTCCGAGGCATGACTTTATCAATTGGTTTGAGCGTCCGTTTGATGTGGTTCAGCAGGAAGTCAAAACAATCAGACAAAAGAAGTATAATTTACAAACAGAGACTGGCACAGTGCACTTATGATCTCGTCAGATGAGTTAGATGTGAGAATGAGTCAACCAGCACGTTCTGTACGTGCGAGGTTGTAGCCACTTCATCACATATGAGAGACTGCGGCTGCCAGGTCTGGAAAGTAGCTCCTCATGATATTGAGGGAATTGAAAGGGAGTGGTTCAGCTGTGCCGAGTATATGTCCTCCTTCGTACTGCTCGTCATCGTCGTCATATCGATCCTTTCGTCCAAAATGACCAGATACATATATCGTGCAACAGGTTTTTCTGCTTTCCGGCACTGCGGTTCACGAGAGCATTGAAGCGATCCATTGGACATACACCTGGAGGAAGATTTTCGATGTATTCGCAGGCGAGACACGCCCACTCGAAAAGTCCATCAGTTTTCGCAGCGAAATGACTCTCTGCGAACTCTTTGTCCTGAAATCCCGATAGCTCTTTCAGCTCCTCAGATACGAAGGCGTGAATGTCGCACTTCGCGACTTCTGGTGGAATGCCATCCATAGACAACCGTAGAATATGATCAGCGCCTTCGAACCCTCTTCGATGTCGGGAAGCGGGCGAGAGGTAACGAGGATTCGAAAGTTGGAATGGAGTTCGGTAATTTGGGGAAGTCCTTTGTCCTGAAGTCTACCGGCAAGTATGAGGAAAAGGTTAAGGTCATGTGCGAATGCGATAGTCCGACGACTCACAGAAGCTCTTCGTCTCCGAGTATTCTCTAATGAAAACGGGCGCACTTGAGAGTCTGCTGAGCAATCTTTCCGACGACATCGCACATCGATTCAACCTTGGAGAGACCGTCGTCTTGGGTAATGAAGCCATAGACTTCATCTAATTTTTGGAGAAGGCGATGTGCCGATTTATACACAGATCTCCAGGCAACATAGAACGTACTTTGGCTGCAGCAGAAAGTACATCCAATGCTATCTTTACATATGGATGCACCTACAACTTGATTAGTTCACTACAAATTAAGGGGAGCATCCAATACATTTGCGATCTTCTCAATGGCACTGTCGAAAATTTTCAGGGGTTGGAGGTAATTGATCTGGTAATCATCCACGGCAGTGAGACCTGCTGGGGCATTCTTGGCGGCAGATACCATAGACTGCGCACGTCCCCCGAATGTTTTCATGTGTTCTGAAGCCTCGTGGGCAGCCCTGGAGTTCAACACCAGCTGACTTAGGACCAAGGGTTTCCTCCACCCCAGAGGGGATGTCGAGAACCTGCACAACTAATCAAATTTAGACTAAAACCAAATAATTTGATGCGAGTACCTTCGAAGTAGGTTCTCCGGATGTGGCTTGGTTGATGCAGCCACTGGTATTTTCAGCTGTGGTGGGATATTTGTCGTCGATGAAAGGACGCAGTTGTGACATGCCCTGAGCGCCTCTGATACAAAAACTGAACTGAGATTACGATTTCGAGCACCTACCTCGATATTCTGATTCGAAGAATCATTTTGAAGATCAGTATTCTGGATCCCAGGAATGCGGTTACGGGAACACTTGAAGTGTTTCTGAAGAATGTCAGCCATATTCAAACCAGGACACGAATAACTCAGCAGTCTACTCACAGAAATTTTCTTCGTGATACGTATCTTAAATTTCCCCGTGGTCCACCGGACTCGACTACGGGTTTGGCTCTTCAAAAGAAGTGATCAATTTCATGAGCACTCATCCGCAGTAAGTGAAACCATGAGACCACATACCGAGCTTTCGTGGAGGTGCAAGAAGTATGAGAGAAGGGAGAGGAACTCTTGGCTTCATTCTTGAACCATTGATCATAGTTACCCATAAACTGCCGAAAGGCGTATAAAGGTGCAAGGCAAGAGATTTGGACAACCCTTTGACCGTCTGACGACCCCATCATGGTAATGACGGAAATTGATCGACATGCGTAGGGCATTTGAATGATAGTGCTCGATTGGTTCACTAGCATGCCTGCCACATGAGGTAAGTATATAGGCAATGAAATGCAAGGTTCTTGTTCCGTCTGGCACGTTCAGAATGGTCAGAGCAGGTACTGTTTACTAGTACATACATCATCGAACTATGAGATTCTCTGGTCATAGATTTATGTTAAGACAGAAATCACCACATTCATGGTTCAGGTTGAAAAGGGTATAGATCTGAGAATCTATAACAAATCTATAAGTTCCGTACAATAAGTAAGTAGAAAGTTGTCCCACCTTAACTTTGAAACCACCCCCGCCCCCCAATAGGTCACGTGACAATGTTAATTAGCACGTTGTACTTGCCTTCAACTTCCGGCAAATATGCCTTTTACTTTCCTCACGTGTTCACTGATGTGCGTGACGGTGCCGAGAAACCTATCTAGCGTCAAATAGTAAGATAATAACCATCCTTTATACAAACTGGCAACAAAGTCGGTGTAACTACGTGTAAGTCTATGTCCAAGAAGAGATACAAAAATGGGATGCATAGCTACATTCTCGTCCAGTAAAATCACGGTATCAATGAAGTAAGAGATGGAATCAAACTCTGAGGAGACGGTCAAAAACGATTTACACCAGGAAAAAAATGATCATACCGAAATGTCTGAAGCAGATATCGGGCATGCGAAACTGGCGGGAATGCTCACCACCGGGTAAACCACGAAAAATAAGACGCGTAATCCAACCTGAACAATGAAAACACAAGTGAGAACTCCATAGATAACATTTTGTGAGTGCACGGACCGTGATGTCAAGATCGATTGTAATATCTTGCACTGCTCCACCACCTACACCACATTTTGTAGCGAGATCAGTTAAGATTTGTGTGCTTGAAGTCATGTTTGTACTGAATTCCAGCGAAAATGGGAAGGTGAAGTTGGTTTGCGAGTTAGAATTGAAGGTGATGTCAGTTTCCTGGCCAGTTCCGACAAGAGTATTGTTGATGGGGTAATATGCCTGATGAATTGTAAGCAATAAAATGTAGTGAACAGGGTTCGACCTACATCTACGTTTATGGACTTGAAAGATACGCCGAAGTAATTTGGGTTGACAACGCTGTAGTTCCGGTAATGAAATGGATCAGACAAAGTGCATGGTCAACGTACGTTAGATTAACGCCCAGGTTAACGGTAATGCTTCCCGAGTTCAGCTGAACCTAATAGAAATGAGAAACGTACACAAACATCAAGAAAGGCTGCCTTACCGCATTTTGAGTGGTAGACGGCCCTACATTACCAACAATAGCATCCGGAGGACGGACCCACTGCAAGAACATTTGAATATATCGTTGACATTTCCCTTTGCAAGGCTTACCATAAGCAGTGCAAGCAGTATGCTGACAATGAGAAAGACAGCAATCATCATTGTGCAACAGCAGAACCTCCCTATGCAGCTAACTCGGCTGCCCTAGAAGCGGTACTCAGGTTCCAACGCGTCACCAAATAAGTGAGACATTAAGTTACTCACCCTTGTCCATAGACCAGCAGTGTTCTCACCTCTCCAGGTCTTGAAATCCTGAGATTGGCTTGTGAAATGGAATCAGATAGGTCAGGGAGCCTCAAAGAGCTGGCGACTCACCGTCCATTTTTTTTCGCATAGTTTGGCTGCTCATAAGGGTTCATTTCCTGTGCTGCTGGAGCATACGATGTAGCGGCAACTTGTGGGTTCGCATTGGGGTCGTCTCTGTACTCGCCCATTGTCTGGGGATCATAGCCGCCTTGGTCGTACGCCTGGTGCGGTTGCCTGGTATCGTATGATGCATCACCATACTGCTGGTTGTGACTGTCTTGTTGCTGCTCAGAATACGGGTCTCTGTATTGAGACATGGTAGATGAATGATGTGCGAGATGGCAGAAGTAGAGCTGCTGCGGGACTCACGAGAGCCGAATTATAGCTGTGCAACTTGTGACAATTGCACAGTTTCAAAGTGGTGCAAGGGGACGAAATTGGCAAATTTAAACAATTAATAGAATGCAGAATATAATTTCACGCTTTAGGAAGGTGTGCCGCGATGCCGGGTGTATGTATCGTTTGGTCTGCTCAATAAACTTTAAATCTATGGATTTAATGAGAATAAACTTACACTTTTGCCTTTTTAGGACTACCCCACCCGGGCTCCAGCACCATACTACCCGCTCCTGCAGGACTTGAGCTTCACGGATCCCTCGCATACTTCGCATCCTTACCTTGAGTTTCTATAGGCACTGGTTTGGATGAGCTAAATCTCTGAACCTGACACTATCGCTCGCCACAGGAACAGCAGTGCCTCCTTATCCGATCAACGTACGACGGACAACTGGCATCAAATGCGAAAGTCCCTTCAAGGTATTTTTATTCCAAAATCCTACCTTTGGTACCTGTACGTACCATCTCGTCGGACAGTAGTATCCGTAGATTTTGGAAGGAGCTATGTACGGCAAAGGTATAAAGTCATCGTAGTGAATGTCTGTTGATATGTTCTTGTCGAGTCAGCTCGATTCCTACTGGTACAGCAGCTGCAACAACTGAGTGTAGATTCTTCTTCAGTCGATTACTTCCTCTTGTCTTGTTTTGCAGTGCTTGATACTGACATATGATATCATCCATGATATTCCGTTGACCTACTTACGTACTTAACCGAGAGTCCCACAACACAATTGCAAGTGGATACTGCGTTCATTGCATATTCGATCAAGAGGATTGTATGATAAAGTCAAGTTCATCCAAATCCACTGGCACTCCCTGAAACGAATGGCATCCTATGTCTTCCAGACGAGGTCCCCGGGACATTCGAGGATGTCACAGTCACTGCACCTGCACCTGCACCTGCACCAGAGTTCGAATGTCCGTGCGAAGATGGTTGGATGAAACGGTTGGATTGGAGTGAGCGCATTTGATCGGATGTCTGGCCAGTGAAGTGTGTGCTGCTAGCGCGATGAGGAGTTTGCGGAACCGCGAATGAGCGTTGCTGAGGTCGATGTTGTATCGTTTGCGGTCCAACTGTCTGGGGGTTCGACGCCATCGTGGTTCTTGTATCCGTCTGGTTCATTGCAGGCCTGAAGCGACCTCGAGGCCCGGGTACTGGAGGGGGTGGAGGTGGCATAGAATGATGACCTTGATCCCCGGACGCCAATCGCAGGTGCCGGGTAGATGCTGATTGTTCGTGAGAGAGCTGAGGGGCTTGCATGCGTGGTCCCTGTTCACCATTGTACGCATATTGTCTGATATATAACATTGAACCCAACGAGTGGAAAAAATTATAGATGTTCTTACTCTACAAAACGACTTGTGCCAGGTCGTTCCGGTTGACGGCTCTGGCTGGAAATTCGTCCCTGATCTTGGCGGGTGAAATTCGGTTGCTCCCCGGGCGGTAATGTAATTCGATTCGGTCCGATTGGGGTGACGATAGATCTAGGGCTGGAACTTGCCTTGAAACTGGCGGCGTGGTTAGATCCAAAATAAATGCGGTCTTTCACCTACTCATGGACATCAGCCATCGGACGCTTGCCATTCGCGTTGGAGAAAGATGAGGGTTGCTGAGCATGAGCGGGGTCCAAGCCAGAAGTGCGCTGGCGTAGGTGCTCCACCTCTCGCTGCAAACTGTCTACTTCTCTGTTCCCAGTGAGGATAAGCGGTGTTGTGAACTGTGAGTCTACGGACTTTCTAAGAGCCTTTCTCTCCGCTCGAATACGTTCGCACGTCTGGCTTAGCTGGGAACAAGCTTGCCGGTAGTAGCGGATGAGACCAGCGAATGTGTCTTGTTGAAACTGATGCAGATTGAGGTCTAAATGATAGCAAAACTACGTCAAGAAGACTCACTTTTACAGCACTTGCTATCGAATCTAGTGAATAAGGGAGAGGTCTAAACCAATCTGACATGGGAGGCTCCAGCTATAATTCCCCAAAACATAAGCCAGACATCTCCTTAGACACATAAGTAGTAAAACATACATCTCGGTGTAGGGGAACCAGCTGGATGTTTGAGGCGTTACATCGCGCACAGCTCTGATCTGGCTCTCATTGGGTAATCAACAAGTTAATACGAGTTTACAATGCACAAGATTTGAGGGCAGGGGAGAAAGCATCTTACTGAGATGATTGTTGCAAAGAACATGACCACATTCTGTGATCCAAAATGGAACGGGTGGTCCGCGATCGCTTGATGTAAACGGGAGTTGGCATATGGAGCAGTGGACAAAGTCCCAGAAGTCAAACTCTGCTTCCTGCATGACTTGCTCGTTTGTGTTGGACATGATACAAAGAGTGCGATGCGGACGTAAGAAGTAACTTATCCCGTTCAAATCCCGTTTGAGCTTTAGAACTTAGAATAGACGCCCGTAATTATGTAAGTGAAGGTCAAATGAAAACTTGAATTCGCTTCTTGCCACAGGATTCTTGTCATCCACTCAAGGACGCATTTTGAAGACGAAGGAGTTAGAAGGATTACCATCCTTCACCATATCATGCCGAATACCACTGCTCCAGTTTCACATTCGGAGCTGCGATCAAATACGACACATAGTCCGACCTCAGATTCGAACCCATACTATGGACGCCACTCCATTGTCAATGATGGTGCTAGATGCCAAACCAAACCATTAATCTCCACCAAGGGCTGGACCCTCGCGCAGTTGATCAAAAAATCGCCTAATTTTTATCCAGTGGACAGGGTCCGTTTTGACGATCCGATGCTAATCCAGACAATTCGGACGTACGAAGATTCTGGTGCCCCCTTAATCATTGAAGGATTCCATGAACACGATAGCTGGCCCGCCGATCTGTTCACCTTGGATTGGCTCAGTGAGCATGGGAAACCGGGTAAGGCATTATTTCTCATGATCGAACGCGTGCCACTTGACTGAGACGCGAATCCAAAGGGGCGTTCGCACGTAACGTGCACACCTGGGCTGATTTCGACCTGCCCCTTTCAGAGCTCATCCATAAACTTCGTGCGACACCAGTATACGCTAATGAAAATGGTGAGGATGCTGTATCACGTCACTCTTTATGTCATCTCACTTTCGCCAGAAACCGAGCGACTGTATGGCAAAGATGCGGAATGCCCGCACGAGTGGGCAACTTGGCTATCAACGTCTAGCGTCCTCCCAAGTGATCTTCTGCCTCACGGAACCAATGATTACCTAAAGTATCTTTCGGTCAGTTCGTTTACACTTTGTGGCTACCCATATAATCAGCTTCGATCAGAGTGATGTTCAGACTTTGATGTGCTACCTCGGAGTAGGGGACACGTTCACTCCTTTCCACAAGGATCTTTGTGCATCTTCTGGCCAAAATCTTATGTGTTATACTGAGAATGGTGGTTCATCTTTCTGGTTCATGACAGAGAGTTCAGCTGCACCAGCCATGGCTGCATTTTTCCAGAAGATGAACGAAGAATTAGACTTTGAGACACATGTCATAACCACGAAAGAGTTGGAGCAGTCGAGACTAAAAATCTACATTGCGGAACAAACTCTTGGCGACTTAGTACTCGTTCCCCCAAGAAGCTGTCATCAAGTCATCAACAATGGTGGCATCACGATGAAAACATCCTGGTCGCGTATGACTCTCAAAGGGTTGTCGAATGCTCTTTATCATGAACTTCCTGTATATCATCGGTAAGTCTCTTTAACATACTCGTGCGTTTCGCAAATTCAGTGATGACATACTTATGTAGTGTATGCCGACCGGAAACATACAAGGTCAAGTTGAATATATATCGCGCCCTTCACCGCCAGACACAGATGCTTCGTGAACTTCAGCAGCAGACAAGTTCTCCTCACTCCAATCGATCATCGCTCACTGTGAACTCGGACCTTGAGCGAGTCGCTGATGATCTCCATCACTTACTTGAGTTGCTTGATGATGTCCTCGGGGAAGAATATTCACCAAAGCATCAAGATATGCTGCATGTTTCGCAATCCGATACCTGCCATCAAAATGACATCTGCTGCGACTTCTGCGGCGCGGATATCTTCCAGAGTTTCTTTGAGTGCATATCCTGTGCTCTTCATCTATCTGGAACCGATGACGAGATGAAGATCGGAGATGGTATCGTGGTTTGTCCTCTTTGTTACGTCGAGGGTCGTGGTTGTAATTGCGGGATCATGAATCCCACTCAATGTCGGCCTTTTGGCGATCTGCTAAGAGCCCGCGACGAAGCCCTATATGCCATTCGAGAAGTATGTCCTGACATCGTGAAAGACCACGAATGTCTACTAGGGAGTTTAAAGTGAGTATACTCGTGCTTGTAGGAGGCTACTGGTTGATTGCGTGTTCAGTTCTATCATATCAGCACGTCATGTCGGCGTCTTCATAGCTGCATGCGTCTTGTATGAACGACGACGGATGTTCTCTGACATTGAAGAGCCGCTGCGCATGTGCTTGTCAAAGCATGAAGATTCTCATAGTGCGATAATCTACTGCTCACTCTGTCATGTCGGACGATGCACGACTCATATATTGGAGGGCTACCATACGCATGCTGCGCTGGCGTTCTTAATGTCAAATGATGTCAAAGTGTGGCATAGCTACCACAAGGAATCCAAGGCAGCATTTAGGGAAGGATATGCACGCATCCAACACGACGAAGAGACTGGTGCACGTCCGGATTTTCACTTGAAGTTGACATACGTCGCATCCAAATTTCGTACATGCAAGTCTATCAACCCGAACGCGACGATACCGGGGTGGTACGATAAATGCATAGAGCTAACTAGCGCGTCTGTGAGAGGATTCCCATTCTTATTGTTTCCGCGCAGCAGCTAAAATATTGACAAGGCTGCATCATCGCCTTTCCGTAGGTCTGCAAGCTCCAGTGAATTGGCATCGCTTCCAAGCGATTTTCAAGGTAGTTCAACGGGCTACCATGCGGTTGGTACTTTCGGCGTTCATGAATCATTTCCCACAACTCGGAAACGTCCAAGCGTACCACTTGTAAATGGCAAGAAGCGAAGGTTTGTTATGGACTTTGTATCTGTCCCCCCCCTTCCATGTAATAGGCCTTCATCCAGCATGTTCGACGATACCACGACTCATATAGGATCTTTGGTATCTGCCCCACATTCGTGTTCACGTATCAGGTATTGACGTAGGACATGTAGCCAGATGAAGATGGTACATCTCCAAGAGTTGACGCTTATTCTCGAGCCCAAACGCGGGATGTCGATGAGGAGTATGAGCAGCTCGATACCTCTGCCAGCAGTTCGGACTGTCGGCCTTCAAAGAAGCAGCGTGTTGGTCCTCCCGGCAACAGACTGTCAAGAAGAGGGCCCCTGAGATTAGAGAAACAGTAGGTTCATCTATCGAGAGTGGGAGTGTGGCTGAGCGTATCGCTGCATAGTGCGTCAAATGGCAAAGTCTATCTCACGAACAAGCCTCGACTCCCCGTCAAATTACTCCCAGACTCTCACAGCCCCGCCAAGAAAGAAGCAATACCTGATAACGTTCGATCCGTGCCCCAGAAGCTACGCTTGGCGCTGGCCGAAAATGAAAAGCTGAGAGTTGCTAATGCCAAATTGGAGACAGACCATCAAATTCTGGAGGACAAGTTATGCGCTTTACAAAAACAAAACGTGGAATTAATAACCATGTCGAGAAGCTTCCGCGCACAGTCCCGCAAGAAGCGCAACAGTCTTGACTCTATTGGACAAGGCCCTGTCAATTATCCTTCTGCACCTGCTCCTTCGATTCACAAGCACCAAGAAAGTCGAGGCTCTTTTACTAGCGCCAGCACAGCAGTGCCTCCTACCCAGTCGCGTGTCCCAGCACGACCTATGAACGGAAGTTCTTCTACCATTATATGCACCCAAACCCAAGAGATGGGCCACTCTTTCCATATTGGACATCCTTCTGCGGGTCACTATCTCTCCATCCAAAGAATGCCGCGTCATGAGCTGGAAGGGCCGCATATGGACACAACGCAGCAGTCCTATGCCCAATCTGACGATGAGAATGATCCACCCGAGACACTCGTCGCGGAGCCTACCCGAGCTCAAAGCCAAGTTGGTTCTTCTGATGACGAAGGCAAATTTCTCTCACTCCTGGAAACTGAAACCTTCTCGTCTATCTCCGCTGGCATGGAGTACTGAGCTTGCGCAGTATCAATCTTACCCTTAATGATCAGATCTGATTCCATAGTCAACTTTACATAATTGTCCCTCAACTGACCACTTTACTGCACATATCTCAAAGCATAATTACTCCTGCAGACCACTTCCGTCACCAATTTACTTACACACTCCTGGTAGTCTGTGAACCCGTACAAAGATAGTCAAGAGCAAGATTTGATCATTTGATCAAAGCTACGGCAGGCGTCCAAACATAAACCGAGAAAGTGGATATTAGGTGCAAGTAATGAATGGGTATATCAAAACGTCGAAAGTAATGACTGACGATGGATGGAGTTACGTTGATCATAGCATGGAACAGAGATAGGGGAAGAACCAGAAATTGGCGACAATCAGCCGCACCGGCATGTGAGGATTCTCCAGATACTCGACTTTGGTTGGGGAGGGTCGTCATCCTGTTGCTGGCGGTAGTCCTCGCCACGAGAAACACCTGCTTCATTGCCATGGGCACGCACTGTACTTATTGCGGGTGGAGCAGCTCCAACAGTTGACACCATAGGAGATGCGCGTCCGTATGCAGCTTGAGATCCGTATGGTTCCTCGCCTGCGTCCCAGCCGTATTCACCAGTAGCTGCATTCGCGTAAGGATGTTGCTGCACACCAACATTATTAGATCTGTTTTGTGGTGTCGAGATTGGAACGTTAATCTGAGCAGCAGCAGAGAGAGGGGTAGCAGTGCCACCAGGTGCATTTCCTGCTCCAGGGGTAAGTGCATTAGGGACTCTGCGCTTCGAGCCGTGCCTAACGAGCGCTGGTGAAGGCGGGTTGACTCCACCAGTCTGTGATGTGCGGCGCCAATCTGTATCCCGACGTCGTTCCATATCTTTTCGACGGTCTTGCGGCGCAGGTGTTACGGCCGCATTCTGTATTTGAGCAAGTACTTGCGATTGCCCCTGCGCAACACAATGAAATCCTCGCATTTCGGAAATTGAAACTTCACCTACTTGCGAAGCCTCCCAACCTTTACCACCTGTATAATTTGATGAAAGATCAATAAGGAGATTACCAGACGCAATGAAAGTTGTACCATTCAATAAGTTCCAGTCAAAAATGCCATCGTCTAAGTCGTTGTTATTCTTCATGACTTTGGAAAAGAGGTCCCTCAAGAAATCATAGTCCGGAGTCTCCTCAAATCCAAGCTTTCGAACATAGTTCAAGTAGATACCGAATTCCTCTGTACGAAAGTTACTGGATCATTGAGAAGACACTTGAAGAATCAACAAACCTGGATATCCCTCACATAAATCCTTGATGGGTGTCGTCTGCTTCTTTTCTCCAATCTTTTCGTACTTTTGCTTGTTGGTAGCAGCCTTTAGCCCTTGCCAAGGTAGGCTTCCCCGCAGGAAGTACATGAAGACATGCCCAAGTGCTTCTAGATCGTCTCTCCGAGATTGTTCTACAGAAATAAGTCAATGCGACCGATCATGATGGAAACACATACCTCGCCCCAAATGAGTATTAATGCTCATGTATCGCGCCGTGCCACTCAGACTTTTCCGTTCCCGGTAAGGAATGTGCTGCTTGGTTTTAGGATCGCGGTATTGTTTAGCCATTCCAAAGTCAACGACATGAATGACTATGAGACACATGTGAATGTAATATCCGCCATGAACGTAGGAAACTTACGATTGGCCGCCTTCGTGCCAGGGCGCCCAATGAGGAAGTTGTCAGGCTTGATGTCACGGTAAATGAGGTTTTTGTCATGGATAGTTTGTACCCGGGACAACTGTTGATGGTTAAATGATGGAAGAAATCTGGAAAACAGAGTAACAAGCACCATTTGTCGGGCTGCCATGCACACCGTCTTGATAGAAAACTTGCGGCCGCACATATCAAATAGATCCTCCAGGCTCGGGCCCAAAAGATCAATCACCAAAATGTTGTGGAGGCCCTCCTGCCCAAAGTGATATATTTGAGGAATACCAGCTACAATACGCGTGAATTAGACTTCATTTACTTGTGAGTCCAGCAAATTTACGCACTGCAGCCAGCAAGAATACGGTATGAGCGACATTCATCTCGGAGCTGAGGTGCCTCTGCTTTGCGTGGCTCCTGCAACCAAAGAAGATATATAAGGAATAAAGGCAGGGATCACTAAAGCAGAGTACCCACAAACTTGATGGCGACAGTCGTAGAGTTTAGCAGGTTCGTTCCTAAGACGCTATGGTCAGCTCAAACCGAAATAGTGTTGAAAGAGGTGCGAACCTTCGAAGATAACACCGAATGAGCCTTCCCCGATTTTCTTGCCAACACGGTAATGCGCCCCGACTACATTCGCCGTGCCAGAGTTATGGGAAGACATGAGAGATGTAATGTATGGAAGGTTATGATGGAGAAGAAAGATAGACCGTGTACAGGGCAAGGACAAGGCCTTCAAGGCCTTCTACTGCCTCTGCGGCGGCGGTGGACAAACGTTGAGGGTACAGACCTCGGTCAAAACCGAGCTTGCCAAAACAAGCGACTCCCTATACAGTTGCATTGCGTGTGACGCCGTAGATTATCAATCATCGACATGTCTCTACATACTAACGAGTCACGATACGTATACATAATGTTAATGAATAGCAGCACAAACTACGTTATTTGAATTCTCATCTCACCCGAAAAGAAGCTGGAGTCCGGGGACAAGCTTCCAGAGCATGGAGAAAATGTAACCAACGATGGGAACCATCAAACCAACAAGTGCATAATTCGTCAGCGCCACTTTCCTTTGCTGGTAAAACCACTGCTCTCCACCCACCACCTTGAAATCATCCCAACGTGGCTTTCGCATGATCCACCAGTAGAGCGACATCATACCAGGGAACGTGGCTAAATTTTTGGCGCCCGCCTGATTGTCGCCTCGATAGTATGAAAAACAGGAAAGGAATACGGTGCTCTCCATACGCTTTTGAATCCAGGTGTTGTAATAGGTTGTAGCCTTTTGGGTGACTTGGAGTGATTTCGCCTTGCCATTGATGATAGGGTTCATCAGCTTGAGAATATAGTCGACCTAGCGTGACATAACCTCATGTTAGATCACAATAACTCCAACTTTCTAAAAACACATACCTGAGTCTCAATGATGAAAATAAGGGAAGCATGAGCCGAAGCACTGTTGGGCCCTGACAAATTTATCAGATGTCAAATTGCAATGGAAGAATCAGCTTGAATCTGCCAACCACTAACCCACGACTGTGAACAGGTTTGGAAACCCAGGGAAAACCGTTCCGTAATAGCCACCTTCTGATTCAAAGTGATGCTTCAGAGTGCGGCCACCGATTCCGCGGGAAACTATTTCGCGTTCGACCTGCACAATATCAGATATGAAGTACACGTGAGGGTTATTGCCAGATTGAAAATCACCAGGTAAAAGCCGGTACCAAAGATGATTGCGTCAAGTGGTACTTTGTCACCAGTCTTGAGAACGATGCCATCCTCAACAATTTCTTGGATTCCGGTCCAATTCAAATCAACGTTGGGCTGGTGCAAAGCGGCCAGGTAGTTAGAATCAAGAACCAGGCGTTTGCATCCAGGAGCTATTTAGCAGCTGTCAAGTCACGATCATCAATATTGTAAATTGCTCACGGTAAGTGGGAATCAGGTCATCGAGGTATTTCGCTGGTGCGGTGCTTCGGATGTACCACGTCAGGAGCTAAACATCATTATTAGATATATCGGATGGACAGAGAAATTGTGGTTACCTTCTTGAAGACTGTATTGAGAGGTGAATTCGCCAAGAAAACGCCCCATAAAAGATCACCCTGGGGTGTAAAAAGTCAGTTTCAGCCAAAACGAGAAATGTCTGAAGTTGTACCGTTATCATCATGAAGCATCTATATGCGTACATGAGAAACGGAACATGGGCGAATGCCCACTTGACCCAATTTGAGTAATGGTAGTTCGACTTGAGTGTTTCACCATTCAGCACGATATCGAGCACAAGAATAAAACCATACCCTGAGTGCGATCCATTGTGGGGTGCGACAAAAGTTTATGATCCGAGTGGTAGGCTCGGCAGCGATGACCGGTACGAACTGAGTTCTGTAAGGCAAAAGTAAGTTATTTATGTAAGACGTGGCATTTGATAAGCAGCAATTTACGCAGAGCAGCCATTGCCGATAACGCCGACAGTCATGCCTTTCAAATCTACGTCATGCCTCCACTGGGAAGAATGCCAGAGTGGTCCTGTGAATTTCTCCTTTCCGGGAATATCCGGAAACATCGGCGCTGTAAAAAATCCGACAGCCTGGATAACAACTTCCGCTTGGGTTTGTAACATCTGACCAGATGTTACATCTTCTAGGGTTAAGTTATGCACGCCCTTTTCTTCATCCCATTCAACAAGCTTAACGCAAGTATTGAATACTGTGCGGGAAGCCAGGTCGTGTTTTTGATGTATCTTCTCCCAGTATGTGCGTATCTCGGGCTGTGTAATGTAGTAGTTCTCCCAGTAAGGATTTGGTTCCGTCGAAAGGGAATACCAGTGCCCAGGAACGTCAGATCCACAACCCTGGTGGAAGATTAAATAGTCAAGTTAAATGAGAGGATCCTAGCATACAGGATATGTGTTGTCCTGTAAGGCGCAATGAATTTAATTCTGCGCAATGCTGTGAATGACTAGTGACTCACTCGCCACGTTCCACCGATGGATTCCGCTTTCTCATAAATCTGGAAAAGGTCAAGTTCGTACCCCTACAGGATATTGTTTAGGATGATTTACCACGAAGTTATCATGGTGCAACTTGTTTCTCAGATTCACAGCCATGGTGATCCCGGCAATGCTTGTCGTGCTCAAATAAGTATTATAGCCTTAATTGACATGACAGCAAGGACATACCCTGCACCAACTATAACCACTCGGGGTGTGTCGCGATTCATGTTTGACAGTGGGTCGTGAGTAGAAAGAAGATTGCGCAGCATGGTAACACGCCCACGGGAGTATAGGTCAAAGGCTGTACTCTGTTCCGACCAGGTCCGGACAAATAATTGGCATCCAAGTCATTGTACGGGAGAATCGTGTAGTACAACGTCGAGTTTTACGTCTATGTGTATCCAAATAGGATATTCCTTGGCTTGGAAGATTTGTGGTTCACTCAGTCATTAATATTCGGTTCCCCTTGGCGATGTGTGTCAGTACCAAGTTTAGAATGATGGCACCGAGAGTGGAAGACTAAGATAAGACTGCATGTCATGTAGAACACATCAAATACAGAGAGTGAGTGGAAGATGATATCAGGACAACAAGCAGGAGGGTAACTAAAAATTAACATACTCAGACAGAGCCTTGCCACAAATGAATTAAGAATCCAGTATTCCATGAGTAGTGCGTTTTTACCATACAAGCGAGGTAACGCTCCGTCCCTGAGTTTCTCATCGAAACTCAAAGTTGGAGCTAAAGCGTTCCGGGACGTGACTGAGTGACAGCTGTTGATATCTAGCAGGGTCGGTTAGAAATATCAAACTCAAAAATGACATATACGTACGGTTCAGAGTTCTGATGGAAGTAAAATCCGCTCATTGTTGCAGCAGGAGGATGAGATCGTGGACCAACTGATAGGCCTCGACCTCCTCGTCTGACGCTGGAATCCCTCCGCTTCCGCACAGCGGGGATTGTCTCCGTTTTCCCGAGAGATGGCGAATGGGACAACGGCGAATCATTAATTCCGTCCTTCTCGAGCGGAACGGACTGTGTGACTGGGCGAAGCGCGGAGGCAGATGAAGGAGGCTGGGGATTGAAATCGACACAAACATAATAAAAGCCTGGTCACAGTAGAAGCACGTATTGTTATATCAGAAACTGCAGATCCTTGTCGGGCCGGCCACGTTGTGACCCGCGCCAAATAAATAAAACAGGCGCTCACCTGCGAAGCTCGCGCCATTGATATCTTGTACTCTGTGATTGGGTACCAAGAACCGTTCCTTCCATCTCATGAAGACCGCGCCACGATCGCGATCGGGGATGGTCAGGTTAGGTTTTTTCAACTCGTTTTTTACATGTCGGAATGCAGGGAAGCGCTGCCAGTGAACCATGTCCTCTTGTTCATTGGCGCCCCAATTTTGGGTCAAGAATCCATAACGACTGCCTATGATTTCTGCGTCAAAATAAGTGGTCAATTCAGGCCAGTCATCTGTCAAGCCGCGGATGCGGAGATATCCACAAAGAAACGAAGAAGAAAAGTCTACATCCTGGTACGAAAATGAGCATCGCCGAACATTAATAAGATTAATCCTCAGCCTCGACGTACGACGATGTTGACATTCACTTCATAGCTATTCCTGCCGCTTTTCTGTGTACCTTGGAACACAGCACCAGGATATAAACAATGATGGCCTTGAGAGCGCACACGAATATGCGTGATGTCAAGAAGGGGGTTTGGAGAAGAGTAGGAGGTATTTATACGCAGAGAATGAGAATCCGTGGAGACGTTATTGCGGGACTGGTTGGACAGGGGTCTTGACGATGTGGTAGCATGAGTGTGGATGGGTTTTGGGGTGACGGGTATGGGCGACTGTGAACACGTAGAATGGGGGAAAGATGAAATAGAAATTGTAGGACAGAGAGAAGAAATTGTTGAACTGGGTGTAGGAGCATCGTCTAAGTCCATATCGTGACCAAAGATGCCTTGCAAGTCTGCAATATGACCGAGCGGTGCGCTATTCAACTGGCCAGAGACAGTGGTAAGCGTAGTTCGGGTAAATGAAGCGCCAGCATCATCATCTGCGAAGGCATCATTATCTTGTTGTCCCTGTGGTTGCATATCGCGACACCAAGCACACATAGTGTTGGAATCGTGGTCGTCCTGCATGAGCACAGCATTGGATGAATCGAGTGGGTTATTGCAATACAAGCAATATTTGGTTGCCTGAGCAGCTTCTGTTGGTGTTTGATCTGTTATGAGAGAGTATGTGTTTTCGACTGGCATATTGTTAAAGGCTGAACTTGGGAGAAGCTGAAGTGGGTGCGAGGTCTGGTTGTCAACTTGAGTATGTGTATGACAGTTTTGGTACCTGAGCCGTCCACGTGCTCCTCAAAGAATCCACGGCTTGTTCAGGCCAACTGGGGCTGACAACAACCGGCGCCAAGGGACTCATATCACGAGCAATAGTGTCGCTGAGTCCTTGCTGAATTTGCTACATATTCTTTCATTTACGCTCCAGACTAGCGCTCAATTGGGAGGCCACGCATTTGTTGGTTCATATATAAAATTATCATTGACGCTCATCGTGTCACGGTTGCGTTGGAAATTCGAATCTCGCGCGATACTTCTCAGACGCTCGAGCCTCGAGAATAGGTTGAGTAGCATTCGGCATTCGGTGCATGCGGCACATGGCAAGCTAAAGCCTGTCACGACTTGGTGGCAACCTGTGAACGTTCCACCCAAGATCATCGTAGCCAAGGGGCCGAGGCCAAGCTTCGACTTGTGCGCTTCTGTTGCAGGGTCATCTACATACCGTCAACTTGACAGCTGCAACACGAGTCCACGGATCATCTCAGGTGCACCATACCCGAAGATCACCGCAGTAATTCGTGATATGTAGGGTCTCCATTAGCGCCTGGATCCTACTAGTCAGGCGTCTGCACGACAAGCTGAATACTAGCAATAAAGGCGCACGACGCGTAATCCTATTGTCGTGGCTGGCGGCTAAAATATTGCTTCGTTGGCTATCTAGACTATGGATGCTTATTCAGGCCATGATTCTCTGCCAGTACAGCATTGAAGACCCTGTGAATCGACGAATGGCAGTCGCTAATACCTACCTAGCGCCCACCAGTTGAACGTGCTCGAGGGATCGATCAACGCACAGTTCCGATCATCCTAGGCTTCCTAGCAAGCGCCTGCACGTGGTCGCACATGGTGCAAGCCAGCCTGATTGGTATCGTTTGCTGTGTTTTCTCTCGTCACGCTAACGTTCCAATTCTAAATCGACGATCATCACGAAGGAACCTAAAAAATCATACTGGCACTTGAATTCAACGGCCCATTTGGAGATGCTTGCCGGCGTCTATGTGTGGTGCCGCTGAAAGCCGATGAGAGCCTGTATCATAACGGAAGCTGTGAAGGCAAGTTTTCTGTTGAGTCCGTAAAATGCCCAATTACAGCTTATCGTTTGGAAGCTGCTAAGTGCAATTTTTGCTTCGCGTTTAAACCCACAGCAATCCAGCGCTATCCATCAAGATATTCGGAAGTTTGCGTGTTATGTTTCGCAGCATATGCCCCTGTTCTGACGGTCCTCGGAGGTTATAAATGCATGTGGGTCGACGGGGTCAATACGATCCTGGAGGCGTTATCCGCTTATGAGTCCCTTGAATCTGATCGATTTCCTTGTCCTAATTTCTTATCTATAAAGATACCGCCAACCGCTATTGCATACTACTAGTGCTATACAATCATATCAATGCGCCATCATGATCGTCGGTCCTCCACACGCCGAGTTTGCACACAATATTCTTCCACAACGGCTCCCACTGCCAGCAAGGTGCGGGTGTCACTAGCGTTCAACCTAATCCGACTATCTAATCATCAGGCTTAATGATTTCAGGTAACTTCTACTGGTAGCGTCACCCGTCGGCAATCCGCGCAGCGTCGCAGCAGGGCTATCAACAAAGATCGAGAACTTGAAAGGGAAGAAGACGCTGAAGGCGAAGGTTTTGATGATCTCATCCATTGGGTATGTTAGCGATCGCTGTGCGTCGACAACATGACTAATCTGATGGTTTTCAATCAGCAAGATGGTGATGCAATTATCAGATTCAAAAAAGTGCTTGATCACGCAGAACCCACAGCAAGTGAAATATTACTTCCCAAGCTAGTTTTAATAAAAGTACAAAGAGCTCTAGGGCGTTGACAAGATGTGAACCCTTTGTTCACAGAGAAGAAAGGACAACACATGATATCGTGACTCCACGGGGAACGTGCGGTAATACGAATCCCGGTGATTATGTGAGGGATTTTCTGAGCTCCTTGCGGCCCAACTTGGAGGCCAAGATTCAGGAGTTCAAGAGAATCGGCCTTGATTCAAAAACTACACTGGATGCCTTCGTCCGATGGCAGGCATCTGAACGGGAGGGCTGGATTTTCTCTCAAAATCTGTACCTCCAACTTACACCGTTGGAACTCAGTGGATTGATGCTGGGCATAGAGAGATTGTCAGATGGGGGCAACGGGGCATGATCGCAACTGTATTCCGAACAGTCAGCTGCAAGTTCTATTGCCACAACTTGCAGGGGAAGTAACCGTGTGTGCGGTCCGAAAACGTTTCATGAATGTGGGTAATTGCATTTGCGCTAAGCAGGAAAAAGAGTAAGAAAGAATGTATCGATTGGATCGGTGGCTGATCGATGAGAGATTTAATATGAAAACCACAATATGGGATGAAACGGTCGTATCAAAGCGTAAGTATATGATGAATCACGAGATTACAGTTCATCGTCCTCTTCCGGAAGCGGGACAGCCTCCGCCTGGCACAAGTACGATTGAGCGATTAGCACTCCATAGACAGGAAAATAGTGACATACCTTCTTCAACTCTTCCTCGTATTGTTTCATCAACTCAGGGTCAACGTGAGCCTCGGCCGGGGCCAAGGCAGGGGCTGCTACGAAATCTAGGTCATGGTTACTGCATGATGTTTATCAACGAAATGGAAGCGGCGCTAGTTGAGAATGGACGTACCCAACCAGCTTCCTTGCAAGCCACAGGAACGGTTTCTCGAAGTTGTAGTTTGATTTGGCGGAGATTTCAAAGTAAGGCAGGTTCTTTTTGCGGTTAAATGTGACAGCGCCTGTCTTCACTTTGCGCTCCTGCATTACACGATCGAGTCAAAAGTGGCCACGCAGAAGACATGATCCTGACTGACCTTGACGTCAACCTTGTTTCCGCACAGTACAATGGGAATGTTCTCGCAAACACGCTCAAGATCGCGGTGCCAATTCGGCACATTCTTATAGGTGATTCTGGAAGTGACATCGAACATGATAATGCCACACTGGCCCTGGATGTAATATCCATCACGAAGACCACCAAACTTTTCCTGTCCAGCAGTATCCCAGACATTGAAACAGATCGTGCCGAAATTTGTGGAAAAGGAAAGTGGGTGGACTTCGACACCGAGAGTGGCTATACAAAGAGAAGATCAACCGGAACCGGTTTATTATAGCTGCTCTGCGATTTCAAGGCGCATGACTTACCGATGTATTTCTTTTCGAATTCACCAGTGAGATGGCGCTAAGTATCAGGCAAATCAGATTGTAATCGCTCAGACGCGGAACTGTATCACTCACCTTCACGAACGTGGTCTTGCCGGTACCACCATCACCGACTGATTTTTCCCATCAAAGACGCGACAGATAGTGCAATACGAAGCACGCGATGTTTGGAACGAGACACAAAATCAAGATCATCAAGAATGAGCCACAGAACATCAGCATCATGATCACTGCAAGCAAGATGAGTGCAAACACTCACCAAGGACCAGCTTAAAGGTAGGAATCTGAGCTTGTGCCATGGTAAGACTGTCGTCGTTAGAGAAAGAAAACGATGAACAAGAGTCGAAAGGCAGAAATCAGGAGATGAGATAAGGTTTGGTTGCCACTTTGACGAGAAATTTCCTATATCTGGAAAGTTCCCACGTTTGACAATGTTATTCACAAAATGACATCCTGGGGGACGGAGCCGCATCGAAAAAATACATCCAATTCTCAAATTCAAAGTTGTTATAACGGATCAAAGTAGCACCAGGGTTTCATTGGATATGTACAGATACAAAGACTGGGACCAAATATCTCTGATAGAAGGATATGTATGCGTCATGGTTTCACCCGACCGTCAAGGCCACATAGTAGCAACTTTCCCGAAGGAAAGCGGGTACGGAAGATACAGGAATATGACGCCGCACCATCACAATAGCTCAGCCCTCATCCTCTGCAACAAATCAACACCGTGAGATGGACTCATCGCAAAGGATATAACGAGAGCGAACCAAGCAACAACGCTCAATCTTGTGAGCACCCCGAAGAGCGCCTCGCTCCATCAACCAGAAAGTAACAACGCCATCCAGAAGAACGAACCTCTGTGCTGTTGGCTAACGCTTCAAGCGGTTGAAATGGACACTGAAGAATTTCATGATAAAAATTTACAGCTCATTATATACATATTTTTGAAACTCCGCTAGCTCCCGACTTGCGTTTGCCGATAGGCGACGCGTCGTGTCGTAACAGTCTTGAAGAGTAGGTGTACCTCAATGTCAAGATCGTCGACGTTACCGAGACCAAGAGAATCTGTGTTTACAGGTGGCCTCGACCCATATCGTGGTGATGTCAATGTCGTTTGTCCGCCAAACCTCCGCGAGTGCGTCCTTGCTATGGAAGATTGCTGCGAAGAGGTGGGAGAACTAGGTGGATATTATAACGCGCTATAGTTCACATCACTATCATCAGGCGCATGAAGCTCAACAACTTCTTCGAAACGGGACATTTGATCTGCCCCGCATGCGCAAGGTCCTTGAAAGCCAAAGGGTAACACTATATTAGCTCCCTACAAGTACACACCGTGTAACTCGTTACAGGTATTCCTTCTAATCGACGAGGGCACAGTGCACAAATATAAAGCTGATCTTGCAGACGAGATTGAGCCTCAGATAAATGAGCTTATCGACCGTGCAGAGAAAGGTCTCAATGCTTTAACTCGTCGAGAGGGCTTGATTCAAAGCAAGGTGAGCAATTTACCTCTTGTCTCGTGCAACATGACTTGACGTGCGAAGGTTGAAGTTGCACAGGCCATGCAATCTAGAGTCGCGACAGCACCCACCTCAAATAAGCGTGAAGAAAGACGCCTGCAAATGCTCTCAAAACAACGTCGGCGACTTGAAGACGAAGTAAAAGCTCTGGAATCAGAGATACTAGCCCACACCCTCGGCACAGGAAACAAGCGGAGTGCTTCGCGTTCCTTTGCACCTTGATTTTTTTGGTATTGTGCATGCAAAATTGTACTTATTCTGTATATGTTTTGATATGGTAATTTTGACTCATTTAGTATGCAAAAGTACTCTTGGCACCTCAGTCTCAGTCTCTTTTACTTACCCTCACTATCGCATGATGTGGGAACCAGAACTCCCGCGACCGTTGCCAGCGTGTATTCTGCAAGAAGTCTTTTCCACAGCACCGATTTACGACCTCATTTTATGCGATTTGAGCCCTCGCACCCTCGTGTGGCTTTCCCGCACATGTCGTCGTGCACATGAGGCAGTAACTCACTTTACCCGCCGTGCGTACAATATCAACCGACACTTGTCTCGTTATTTTCCGGATCCCCTTGCATTTCGATCCCTCCAAGCACGCACCGGACTAGTCATTTCAGGCTCCAATGCGTTGCAGTTCCTTGATAGGAGCTTTTATCCCGAATCAGACCTTGACCTCTACGCTCATCCTGGTCACGTTTACGAAGCACTAGAGTGGCTCGACTCTGTTGGGTATAAATTCCAACCTGAGTCGTGGCAGCAACAGGATTGGCATGATGAAGTTTCAGCTGACTGGGATGGTACAGCAAGAAGAGTCGACCGACACGGAGAGATGATGATCAATCATGAACCAAACATGGAGTACTCTGATGTCGCTGGTGTTTACACGTTCAAGCGCTCTGTAACTATGGACACAGAGACGGTAGTGCTCAAGGTTCAAATCATCGCAACAAAGTGCAATCCTATCCAGACTATCACGCAATTTCATTCAAGTTTGTCGATTTGTCGATTTTCCTTTGAATATTTTTGACACTGTACTCGTAGCTTGCGTGATGAATATAATTACGTTCAACGCAGCTTATTCCTTTTACCCCGTTGCAACCTTCGAGGAGCGAATGGCCATCCAAATCCCCGGGTCGAACCAATTGGATGCCGTCGCAAAGTATGTGCAGAGGGGTTGGAGAGTCTACGCAGTGTTCGGGCCGGAACATGCCGCTCGTCCTCAACTATTTCTTTTGGACGAGAAGAGGTGGGTGGGTGATCGTCACTGTTGGTCCATTCCTCTGGACACTACGGGGGTCACGCCCCGCCCACAATTGTCCATATCCTCAGAACACTTCTCCTGGGACCCCTCAATCGAGAACGGTTGGATAATGGAGTGCGGAGGTTATTCTACCGCTACCCATGTACCAAAAATTCGCACCCATCTAGTCATGATCACCATTTTCCGTTACAACTATAGCTATCCTGATGTCAAGCTTGCCAAAGCAATTCGTGACTGGTCGCTGTCCCAGGGCCAACTTAACCACACACAATTAACAAGACAGAATTGGATATGGTGTGTTCATCTCTACTCAAATGGTGCATCGCATTAACACATGTGTACTAGGTTTGACGCTGAAATTCCAAGGTTCCGGGATGTGTGGAGCTCTCATGGGCAGAAATGTACGAATTATCGGAGAAGATGAATCGTGTATTGTATTTGTCGGTCACAAAATTTTTATGACAGTTGGCAACTGATTTTCAAAATGCCAACATCGAGCTTTGTCGGACGGGCACGAGGTGACACCTTTGCAATTGTACATCCGACAAGTCGGCTTTTGATGAAATAACGTTCGCGACGGGCTCCGGACAATGCAGCCCAGGACCTGAACAGGTCGACAAAGACCACTGACAATTTCAAGTGCAGGAGTCAGCGCTCATTGCTATCAACCGTCCATCCCGTCGATGCATTCACGATGCTACACTCACTGATGCCCCTCCAATATTTCAACAGAACACCTCCTTGTGAAGGAATATTTTCAACCTCAGCGTCTAGAGTCACTGACTTGCGAACTTTGTTTGAGCACGGATAATCATTGCAGAGCACAGCACTCATCCAACACGGAATTCTAGGAGATACAGATCTGCGCTAGATAACAAGCTCCTCCAATCTATACAGCCCAACACCGAGTGCAATCTGTTGTTCTTGATGTTTGCGTCTTTTTCTCCATTCGTTCGGGGTTTCCTTCGGCGTTCCCTCAGCCCTCTCCTTCACTATTCGGTTCTGAGCTTTGGCGAAGGGTTCCAATGCCCCTCGAAGGTTCCCCACACGCTCATGAAGTCCTATCTCGGGTTCTATGTGCGACATGATACTTCGAAGCAAATCGTGCGACGGAGGGAATTGCAACAAGGAAACAAACGAAGCGTCCAACAAGACTTGCAGGAAGGATATTGTCTGTAGAGTGTCAGGCTTTATCTGGCTACTGAACACAAGCATACCTTATCGTACGGTGGGGCCGCACCGCCACGGTGTTCTATTAAAGTGTTCGATGCCACAGATTTTAAAAGGGTACGAATATACTCCTCGGTTCCACCAACTGTCCAGCCGTCCAGCAATTCTAAGATCAAAATGAGATCTTGTGCATCTGGCAGGTGTTTTCTGATGGCCAGACGCAGTGCAGCAGGAGACGTTGGATATGAGACGCACATCAGCATATAAGCCGATAGAGTTGGGGTCCAGGCCTTATTGCTATCCACATTCATGACCTCTGGATCGGGCTGTGGCTCTCGCTGCTCATCAATAAGCGCCTTGGCTAGGGAAATCATCTCGTCCTCAGATATATCGACTACTGAGTTGAACGACAACATGATGCTTTCCTATTGCACGAGCTATTATTGACTTTATCATGCTAGAGATAGGAATCACCCACCCAATCGCCGTATTGTTTTAGTGCTGTGAGAAGTCTGCCGTCTACCATGCCTGCGCTGACGACGCGACTCTCAATCAAGTGCCGCATGACACGCGGAGAATATTGAGGCTTGTCAGTGTACTCCTTTGCAAAGAAGAGGGCTAAAAGCTCTTTGACAAAACCGTAACCATAAAGAGCTTCCAACGCCGCTCCGTCCTATTGTCAAACTTGGCATCAGAAACTCCGATCGAGGCTGTAACTGCGCACCGGTGTCGAGATTGACAGTGCATTACTTGAGGGTGACCCACCAGCTGAAGTATGTGCCTTGGCCCATCTGAAAAATGCTTCATCCGCCTTATGGGGTTCATTGCGCTGCAAATGATTCGACATGTCGACAAGCAGTTTAGATCTAGGGTCATTGTCCGCTAGAGTTTCAGCTTTAGGATTCGGTACCAGCCATTCAGAAGTTGCGTGGGTTTTTCCGATTGCACCAGCGATGGTAGATTTCAAGTTCGGATCCAGGGGAATGATGTAAACTATCGAACGATATGGAGACTCGGAGGTCGACGAAGCGGTCCGTGAAATATTTGCAGGGCACAACGTTAACAAGACTTGCCCTGCATCTGCGAGCAATAAATTCATATCAATGCCCTGTTTGATGCTCGGCGCAATAGTGGATGGGATTGGGATAGCATGCGATGCAATAACTACACCGTAACGCATGTCCCAGAGAAGGATTGATATCTCTGATGATGGCGTGGCGGTCATAGCAGCGAGGAGAACCAACGAGGAACCCAGTGAAAGGAGACACATGCCGCGTCCAAAAGAATGGGCATTCGAATGCGATAATTGGGCCAGAGCTAATGTTTCGCCAATCTGTGTCATAGATGTTGTTAGGTTGTTTACCTCGAGCTGATAAGCAGCCCAAGTATGGGATTCATCTTGACGGTATGAGACATCTTCAAATCATGATAGACACAGAAGCTCACTTATGTAGCTCAACACCCCACAGGGACCACAAGAAAGGGCAATTACGTGGTGGTCTGTTTTCCGTCCCGGTACTCCATGGGAGATCGAAACCTGGTTTTGGCCGATGATGGTCATATCCTTGCCAGTAACAAATACAATGGACAGAAGCAGCATGGAGTCAGAGCTCGAGCAGAACACTATGATGGTGTCTGGAGGGTTTTCATGAGGCGGAAAAAAATTACATGATGTGCCAGGGAAGAAAAACACGTCCAGGAAATTTTGTTGATGTGGACATACGAGAGTGGACTGTATGTTCAACTCATCATCTGCGACACTGATATCACCAGTGGAAGATACGAGTAAAATGTTTGAACTTTTGTTGTCTGAGTAGATACGCGCGACTTCATGAGGCAACTGACGATTCCGTCAGTGTAGGATATGATGTTTTAATGAGCGAGACATACCACAATTTCGCGTTTGTCACTTTTACCCGAGGTGCCACCTAAGATTTTCTGCTTCACAATCCATACTGTCCGGTCCCTGTTCTTCACAGCAACCTCTGGTGCGGAAGAGACGAGTGCATAAGTTGTGCATATACGCTCATCATCCTCTAGTGTGCACCGGCTGCTCGCAGGTCCAGAAAATGCGACATTAGATCCACAGGTGTGCGAGGCTACTGTATGAAGTTCAGATAGCTGAAAATAGAGAATTTCCATCAACGGGTCTCTGCAGGAGTCTAGAAAACTCACATCAACGATATGTATACCTTCTGCCTGGACGGTCACTGTTGCATGTCCGGGAAAATCGCGGCCGTATGACGCATATGTGGGATTGTGTACTTTTTCGTGCCTTATTTTCGTTGGAACAGGGTAGCTCGATACTTGGAAGGGCTCTCCGATAAGTGAGCTCATCGAGGTCTGTGTGGAAGAACAATTGTATTCCGAGGTGTCCGGGGAGCCATCCATCCGGGGTCTCAGCAAAGTATCATAACTGGTCACAATTTGCCAAGAATTTCTATATTATATAATCTTGGAGTGTCGTCCACGCGCGTGCGTCTCGCGTGCCAGGGCGCAAACTTCAAGCCCATTGCTCCGCTGCGCTTGCTGGAAATCGATTTCTATATTTTATTTTTGAAACAACTTTGCTCCATCTTGCTCCATCTCTTACGACATACTGCCAAGTTCCCCACTGGCATCTCAACAATATAATGCGCTCCACCTCACTTTCCTGGTATCGTAAATGTGCAAATCAAACTGCGTCGTCTGACTCGTCATGAGGTAGTGCGATGCGTTGTCAACAAATGGCCAAATATCAAGTTCAAATGTTCTGCTAAAACTTCAAAGCACGCATTTATCCCCTAACTCTCGGTGACTCTAAGCTCAGAGACATAGTACGGAACCCATTCACCACGACTCCGAGCCAGCAAAGACATTTCACTGTGTCGTGGTACTGAAATACGGCCACGACCGTCTTATGCAAGCCTGAGAAGTTCAAGTGCGCAAAAAAGTCAAGAACCAGAACGCTTATTCTGCTGACAGCAGAGGTATGTAAAGGTTACGGTAGGCTGCTGTTACCTGTACCACGCCTGTCCCGCATAAGGCCTATGACTGGATGTCGACCTAGCTTTCTCAAGTTCTCGTTTGTTCGACCCTGGCTGATTGACCACGCACACCAGACGCAGACAGGCTGGTGTCCGCAGTTCGATTGTAAGTCGGGATAAATTTCAATGATATCTTGGTTCAATTTTCATTTGGGTCGCAGAGAGGCCACACAGAACCACATGTATGGCATCAGGGCGTCTCGGTCGTTATGGTCACCTAAGGTGGATACCGAGAGTGATTCCTGGTGATTCGTGGTCGATTATCAATCTCTTTTATACTGTGTGGCCAGTAGATCAGGCTCATTCGAAATCGCCAACTTGCAACAGTGCAACATGGCAGCTCCGAGCGCTTCAGCGATTTCAAAGTTGCACCCGCAACCAAGTGCAGATGAGTCGACTCTCGCCAAGCTAGGATATAGGCAGGAATTTCGCAGGGAATTCACTCCCCTAGAGGTGAGCTTGATTTCAGACTCTTCCATGTACGCGACGCAAGCTAACAATTGCAGGTGGCTGGACTTGCATTCAGCGTCGTTCAAGTGGTTCCTTCTATAGCGTAAGCTGTCACTATGGCGCAAGCCAATCTAAATTGTATATCAATGACGAAAAATTGTTCAGCTCCGTGCTCTTTTATACAATACCAAACGGTGGGCCTGTCGCGATGGTTTAGGGTGTAAGCTTTCATCACACGTGGAGATTGCTGTTTGTAACGTCTCACGTTTTCTCTGCGCAGTGGGTATTTGCTTACCCCTTTGTTCTGTGCACCGGGTTGGCGTTGGCAGAGCTCGCATCAGCAGCACCTACTTCTGGCGGCGTATGTCATCGACGCTGTCGCTGTTTCACATTTGACTGAACACAATCTAGCTATACTATTGGACTTACTCTCTCGCTTCTCCACGATGCCGCAATTTTCTGTCGTGGATAGTTGGCTGTAAGTCCTGCATTTCGATGCGACATGCAGCCAGTCCTGACCCATCTGCAGATTCGAATACCATAGAGATGATCACGGGAGTTGGTAAGACGGGTTTCATTCTTTCAGCAGCCTCCCCCTGATCATGCGTGCTAGCTTCCATAAATTGGGCCTGTGCAATTCAAATTACTGCAGCAATCAGTATTGCCCCCTCTGACCAGACATATACGACTACCAACCAGCAGCTCTAGTAAGCTCATTCCCATACAGACACGACACTCTTCATATTGGTTGTTATAGTGGTATATACGCAGCTTTGGGTTTGCCACAAGCTGTCATCGTGAGCCTCGGTACCAAAGTTTTGGCAAGGTTGCAGAGACTATTCACGTTGGTGAATGCAGCGTAGGTGTTGTAGAGTTCGTCCGCGATCATTGTTTCAAACCCTCCAATAGCCTTTGCTTCATAATCATCCTCGCCCTTCCGATCGCGACGCCACTAGATTATCGAAACAGCGCAAATTTTGCGCTAGGGGAATCCACCAACTGTATGTTTCATCGTCCAATTACGCTCGCAGCTCACAATCAGTTGTAGTGGCCGGCTGGCCCTCTGGATTCGCATTTATTTTGAGCTTGATGGCTCCTTTTTATACAATAGGTTAGACCATATTTAACCCACCAGGGGGTTATGATACTAGCGTTCACATGACCGAGGAGGTCTCAAATGCCGCTATGGCGATACCATGGGCAATAGTAAGTGACACTAGAAATGATCAATTGTTGTATTTATCCCAGTCAGGTCGGTTCTATTACCGTATCAGCTGTCCTTGGTTGCGGTATGTAAATTGAATGACATGTCACTCTCATCTTGATGACACATTCTAATCTAGGAGTCAACATCTCCCTTGCCTTTTGCATGGGCACTGATGTCGGCAGCCTCCTCAATAGCCCTATTGGCCAGCCTATGGCACAAATTCTATTCAATTTGCTCGGGCAGCAAAAAGCCCTGGCTCTATGGTGTCTCATTATTATAGCGGAGTACGTTTTAGTGCCGTGTTGCGTATTCCCAGCCTAACCATAGAGCAGGTACATGATGGCATCGAACCTCCTCCTAGTCGGCTCTCGCCAAACGTTTGCATTTGCTCGTGATGGAGCCATCCCTTTTTCACGGTATTTATACCGGATCAATCGCTACACAGGAACATCCGTCAATACAGTTTGGTTCGAAATCATCTGCTCTCTGGCAATTGGACTTTTGTTGTTCGTGAGCACCGAAGCCATCGATGCGGTATTCACAATTGCTATCACCGCGTCGTATATCGCCTACATAACGCCGATCACCAACCGCTTTGTGTTCCAGAATGATTTTAAACCCGGTCCATTTTATCTGGGGAAACTGGTGGGTTAATCGGCGCGATGTATTCTTGAACTAATATGCCTCTGCAGAGCTTTCCAGTCTCTGTGATCGCTGTGGCGTGGATGGCCTTTCTGATCCTTGTTTTCTTCTTCCCCGCGACCCCGCAAACAACGGCACAGGAGATGAACTATACAGTTGTGGTACTTGGAGGGTTCATGTTTCTGGCGATTTCCTGGTATTATTTTCCAGTGTACGGAGGCGTACATTGGTACACTGGACCCATATCCAACTATACGCCGGCCATCAGAGGGGAAAACAGAGACGAAGATTCTATATCGGAGGGGAAGGAACATGATGCCGATATCTATGTTTCAGCGGTGGATGTATAAGAAATGTTCGTATAATACTGTCCTGAAGTCAACGGCATGCAAAAATTATACATATGTTCAATAGTATTCAACAGTGTTGTATACAAACCTAGAGTACGAGTTTTTCAAAATTTGGCCTCGCTGCCTTTACCAGGAGTCTTTGGAAAATTGGTCATGGCGGCCATTACGAACAAACACCGAGCTCGCCTCGTGCACCTCTAAAGTCATGTGCATGCAATTAGGCACATGCGAACATGCGCTCAGGGAGTCGCGTCCCAGAGCTACTGCTCGTTTTTCTCCCGTTATCATTCCTCCTTACCCGTTCTCACATTGACTCTCATCGCTTTGAAGGAAATGTCGGAAAATACCACCACAGTCGTTTCCTCTGCTCCTCTCCATATCTCCAGTAAGGATTTTCTACTTGCCATATATTTCACCCTTGAACATTTTTCTTCCCAGGCATTGCCATCCGCCTTGATGATACTTCGAGCAAGAAAATCGATTTTGCCGAGTTGAAGTTTGATTCGCGTCGACAGGAGATCTACCACAGTTCGGAACAAGACAAACACCTCAGCGCAAAGTTTGATCCCGCCATGTGAGCTCCACCCATGCTGGGAGAAACCCGTTCAGAACATCGTAACACAGTGCGGTGACCACTGAGCGGGTTTCCTTGTTTGTGCACTGTTACTATACTATAGGCACGTTGCTGTGGAAGACCACAAAGAGGTTTTCGTTAAACAGAAAGGACATCTTGTCTAATGCAGAGGATCACAACGGCAAACCAGGTAGACTAATTCGCCTGCAGCTGGGTCGCATCAAACTTATAACTTTATGTGATAGAGTATAGGATGACTGAGGGGACGATAACTGTTGTCATCACAATATTGTCAGTATGTTAGTCTCTTATCTCAGAAGCAAACTGAGCATCCTTGTCTATATCGATCATGATTGTTGACACCAGGCAGCTGCAGTTGACTAGCAGCGATATTCTAAAGGTTTACCCGAGATTCCGGCTACTGGTAATAGGGAATGTCCGTCTCTGACATTGCCCTCAAGTGTAGACGACTCACGCATTCACTTCGTAGACCGGAGTCGGAAAGTCATCACTGATCCAGCAGGCATTCAAAATAAATGAAGTAGTTGAGTCCATGAGATACTGTCATGTGAGGACCATTACTGACATTCACATGTCCTCTACAGCATATTTGTGAACACAGACGTGGTGAAGCGGATATCGACAAGGAATTCATTGCGCCAGAAAATGAACTATTTGTCCTCCACGATAGTCAGGGGTTTGAAGCTGGCGATAGCAAGACTTTTAAGACTGCAAGAGACTTCATTGACCGCCGACGCAAGGAGCCCAAATTGCAGGACAAAATCCACGCGGTCTGGTACGGTCTTCTGGCTTCCGCTGCCGCTCTGCCATACTGATACTGCTTGAAGGCTCTGCCTTTCGATACCTCATGCCGATGGACGCTTGCTTGAGAGCGGAGCAGAGGAATTTCTCAAATTGAGGAAGGAGATACTAGGCGATAGTGCGCAGTGTTTGCATTTTGTTTCTCATGACTCATATTTTAAGTCTAGTTCCGATCATTGCTGTCTTCACCAAGCATGACGTTTTTGTGAACAAATTGGAGCTCGAAGCTGTTGATTCTGACCAATATGATGAAATCGCGCTCGAAGAGCTTAAAGTTACCACATTGGATAAATTGTGTATCCAGCCGCTTAAGGAAGTAGCTGGGAGCGACATCCTGCACGCAACTGTTTCAAGTAAAGGGGTCTAAATTCTCTAGTCCCCAATGCTGACATATTATTATAGCGAACGAAGAGTACGAGAGCACAATAAGACAACTGGTCTATCTTACAACCACGAACATTGAAAAATATGTCGCCAAGAAGCAGCATTAGCAATGATGATAACCCAGCGAGTAGATATCAGTCTTAATGTTAAGCATCAATTGCGTATGCACGATGACTATTATTTTGGTAAAGCCTCGATTTCGCATTTTTACTTTTCGCAGCATCAGCGAGAAAAGTTAGTCTTGCCAGAATCTCACTCTGGATGCTCAAAGATATAACTTCTCAGTTTCTCGGCTTCCAGCAGACACACCACTTCAGAAAAGCGACAGACGAAGCATACAACAGGAAACTCAGCCTAGCTCCCCGTCATTATCATGCCTTGACGTCAGTGCTTTCATTTTTGACTTCCTGTCTTGCTTTTCTCACATTGTTGTTGCAGGTGATGCTATGGGAGGCGGTAACTTCCTCGAAGAGGCGTATGACGACCCATGCAACAACTTCTTCCGAGTAAAACTCTTGTTTCTATGCAAGAGTGCTGCTACTGACAACAAGTACTTGTAGCTGTTGCAGCAATCTCTTGGATTGCCATTGCCATCTCCTGGCTTCCATTTCCCTTCCTTGTTTTCGGCTCACCGCTTGTTGGATGTCATCTCTCGATGTTTCCCACCACCAGATCTGCCTTTACCAGGACTTCGGAAAGTTGGTCATGGCAAGTTTTACTCCTTGCCATGACGTGTAAAACGCTCGACAAAAGTTGTAGTTTGCTGAATCAATGCTGATGCATCACACAGGACCAGTCGTTGGTGCAAGTGTGGGTGGGCGGCTAGTGCCAGTAGAGACATTCAAGATATTGGTTTAAACATCGCCAGCGTGTATAGCAAATCACTTGACTAAATACTACGACGAAAACTTTTGTATGTCTCCTTAAAATATACTTCGAAACACCAAATGAACTTAATCAATGCCATCACGAAAGCGTGAATAAATAAAAGCAAATTTCCCTGCTCCTTGGAGAGTACTAGAGAATTGTTAACTTCACCGAGCATCACACACTATTGCCAGTCGATATATGCACACGCTCTTGGAAAGCGATCGAGCTCATGCCTGTTGCTGCATCAGAGTTGGCCATGATCTCAGTGTGATATTTTCGAACGCTAAGAATCAGGCGTGGTCCCAGCACACACATTTGCCCGACTAAGAAAATTTGAAGAAATCCAGAATAATTCTGAACTTTCAGGGGATTTTGACCCTATAGAAATGATGAACCATGATCGCACGCAGAGGTCAGTAAAATATTGACATACCGCTTCGAAGAGTACTACAGAGAAATCAAATACGAGCTGGAAGCAAGACGTAGCAACAAAGCTACCACCACCGAATCTTCAGTAAGAGGAATAATAATCACACCATGAGCTCACCTCACAAAGTAGACCACGTGAGCTTTCACCAATACCGTGAAACAGTCCGCGGTAACACTTCCTGTCGAATATTGTCGCAATTCGCTGAAGTGTTTTACAGCAATCCAGATTGCGAGACATAGTGTGAGGACCTCCCACATCGTTCCGAGTATCCAAATAATGAGATCCAGATGCAAGTCATCTTCTCCAAAGTCAATCGAGCACTGATGAATGCCGGAGAGAATGAGTTCCTCTGGTATTCATTAATGAGCACTGTGCACATTTATTTTTATTCACAATTAAGCGTACCTCCTGAGAGTGATAGAGTTATCATTACAACGGCCACTCCGTTAAAAATGTTGTCAGCCAGGAAGATGACACTGAGAAATATCAGGATTTTTCTGGATCGTTGATACATAGCATATAACCGAGTGATCATGATGACTTGCAGCATGTTTCAGTCAAGGAAATAACTGTCGCAAGTGCCAAGCTCACCCCCCAGTATTGGAAATACCAAACCACCGACACAATACTGTACGATGTACGAAATAACGCCTAACGAATCCAGTCAGTGACAAGCCTCGGGTAGCACACACTCCAAAATGGACTCACATCTGTGGCAGTATGGTGTAGCAGTCATTAGTGAACTAAGAAGTTAGTAAAGAATAACACTGACCCCTACAGGACACCACGGTCAATTGAAGGGGGATGGTGGGCATCTGTGGAGGAAACTCACTGTATCTGTTAGCGAGATCGTTGGAAGACAGTCTGTATTTGCCGTTGGTTAGGAGAAGCAAAGGCAGCAAATATACTAAGGAGACATACTCAACATAGCCACACTGATTACGAGAGATAGGCAATCAATACGACATTGATTAATTAACCTTCCGAACATACGCAGTACATAAGATTCCAAGGTAGCGCACCTAGGATATGTTTAAGTCAGCTTAGCATGGAAACTACAACAAACAAGCCGCATACACCGAGGTACATAACTGTCATTAGGGACCAGTGTTGCCCCTGGAATTAATTGTACATTCATGTGTGTTCCTCTGACATGATACTCCACTCACCCAGATCAGTTCGACCTAGTATAAAATCATTGTTAGCGAGATGGCCGCCCCAGCCATAGCATTGACATACCTCTTGTCCAAACGAAAGTGCTGAAATAGTTCTAGGATATCAGCAGTCCTTTAATATCATCATGCTCACCCCAGTCATATGTCACTCCAACAAAAGTGGCAACTGCAAAACCGCAGCTAAGGTTAGAATGAGTCGGCTTCAACATTCAACAGCTCTGCACGAACCTAGAAGATAACTGGAATAACGATATCCATTTATGATCGGCCACAAAGTGGGATCGTTTAAGACTATGGTCATATTGATAGAGAATGAGTGTGGGTGAGAGGCAAATTTGGTGGACGTATAACAATGAGATATGCCATGTGCTTTAAGTACCAAAATGAGGTCGAGAGATTATATCCGTTCCTGCAGTGCACGTTACCCAAAGTAAATATTTTCGTATGAAGAAAGATGAATTCAATCCAGGTTGCGTAACATAATTGTTGGTCGTGAAGCAGTCACTGTGCAGTGTACTTTGCCTCCATCATTGGACTTTGTATCACATGCCAAAAATGGTAAGTACAGAATCCAAACGTGGCGTTGGTAGTACGACTCAGATCAGTTTGCACAGCTAGAGACATGCCTATAATTGAGGTGCAGTACTCTTTAGTAAGCATTCATTCGTCGTTTGACAGACCAGTGGAGTTTGTTATTACATTATCCGGATTCTTCTCCATCGAAGGCCAATTTTCGACATGGCCAGCGACGATGCGTGGGGTGCAAGGAAACTTTGAGGCGAACTTGCGGAACATTCTCGACTGCGTAGGAGCGAACGGCAGAGCCGACAGGTATAAATGGGGAGTGCTGCGTAAGATGGTGGCTGCGAAAGTTCGGACGCGGTCCGTGAAATATTTGCAGGGCACAGCGTCAATAAGACTTGCCCTGCATCTGCGAGCAATAAGCTCATATTAATGCCCTGTTTGATGCTCGGCGCAATAGTGGATGGAATTGGGATAGCATGCGATGCAATAACTACATCGTAGCGCATGTCCCAGAGAAGGATTGATGTCTCTGACGATGGCATAGCGGTCATAGTAGCGAGGAGAACCAACGAGGAACCCAGTGAAAGGAGACACATGCCGCGTCCAAAAGAATGGGCATTCGAATGCGATAATTGGGCCAGAGCTAATGTTTCGCCAATCTGTGTCATAGATGTTGTTAGGTTGTTTACCTCGAGCTGATAAGCAGCCCAAGTATGGGATTCATCTTGACGGTATGAGACATCTTCAAATCATAATAGACACAGAAGCTCACTTATGTAGCTCAACACCCCACAGGGACCACAAGAAAGGGCAATTACGTGGTGGTCTGTTTTCCGTCCCGGTACTCCATGGGAGATCGAAACCTGGTTTTGGCCGATGATGGTCATATCCTTGCCAGTAACAGATACAATGGACAGAAGCAGCATGGAGTCAGAGCTCGAGCAGAACACTATGATGGTGTCTGGAGGGTTTTCATGAGGCGGCAAAAAATTACATGATGTGCCAGGGAAGAAAAACACGTCCAGGAAATTTTGTTGATGTGGACATACGAGAGTGGACTGTATGTTCAACTCATCATCTGCGACACTGATATCACCAGTGGAAGATACGAGTAAAATGTTTGAACTTTTATCGTCTGAGTAGATACGCGCGACTTCGTGAGGCAACTGACGATTCCGTCAGTGTAGGATATGATGTTTTAATGAGCGAGACATACCACAATTTCGCGTTTGTCACTTTTACCCGAGGTGCCACCTAAAATTTTCTGCTTCACAATCCATACTGTCCGGTCCTTGCTCTTCACAGCAACCTCTGGTGCGGAAGAGACGAGTGCATAAGTTGTGCATATACCTCATTATCCTCTAGTGTGCACCGGCTGCTCGCAGGTCCAGAGAATGCGACATTAGATCCACAGGTGTGCGAGGCTACTGTATGAAGTTCAGATAGCTGAAAATAGAAAGTTTCCATCAACGCGTCTCTGCAGGAGTCCAGAAAAACGATACTATGTATACCTTCTGCCTGGACGGTCACTGTTGCATGTCCGGGAAAATCGCGGCTGTATGACGCATATGTGGGATTGTGTACTTTTTCGTGCCTTATTTTCGTTGGAACAGGGTAGCTCGATACTTGGAAGGGCTCTCCGATGAGTGAGCTCATCGAGGTCTGTGTAGAAGAACAATTGTATTCCGAGGTGTCCGGGGAGCCATCCATCCGGGGTCTCAGCAAAGTATCATAATTGGTCACAATTTGCCAAGAATTTCTATATTTAATAATATTTTTATACCGCAACAAACGTGTTAAGACGCTTATAGCTACAAGCTTAAGCTGTCTCGGGGTCGATCAGCGTACGAGATAAGGGTATTTAAAGGTATGCTTATTGGCACGAATAGTTGAGAATATATCTGCGTTTATGTTTTTGATGATTTCGGATGCCCCCCTCCGTTCGACCAAGTACCCATAATACCAAGCACGTGCACTGCGACCCTCCGCCTCCTCCGTCCTTCTGTCCGTTCCATTCCCACAGTCACACTCTTCGAATAATTTCTTCCTTCGTCTCTCTCCAAAGCCCCCCAGGAGTCCAGCCTGCCCCTTCATCTATTCGTCTTCCTGCAATGTGGTCATCATCCTTCTGATCTTGAATGCATCAGAGTCGGACTCTTCCATAAATTTGACCAGTGCCTTGATTCCTTTCTCTACATCCATGATTTCACTTGTCATGAAGTTGCGAGAAACCGTGTGCAGGTAGATGCGCTGACGGGTGAATAGGAATAGGGGACAATCGCAAGTTCCGTTCACTTTTTTAACATGTTACGTCGTCGTGCATTCGCACATGTTCGATGATCGGGTCATTGCGTCTGGTAGCTTCTTTTGCAAGCTTGTCTGCGTGTTGATTGCGCTTAATGTTGCGGTGGCCCTAATTAGCCAGACCTTCAAGTTTATACGCGAAGGAAGATAAGTCGTTCCTTCTCATAGGCTCCGGCCAGTCTCAACAGTGCTGATGTAAGTAACGCAGCAATGTTTAATTATCTTCCATCGTGAAGCGTGATCCCGGAACTAAATTACGAGTTCTGGCTATTGCATCGTAAACAACAGCAGTACTTCCACCTGCATACATGTACCCTTGGGCTAAGTCGATTATTTCACCAGCCTGGCTTGGTCACTAATACCAATCTGATTACCCCGCATACTAGTACTTGAAATTCTGAGTCTCGTGCCCGGGTCTGGATCCCATGTCAGTGACCTGGCTGGTGCTGTGATCTTACTCTCTCGGTCGCCGATCTTCTGTTACGTCGGCTTGCTATGGGTGGTGGTTCCACGAAAATCGCTGGGAAAGCCTGAAGATTATTGTGACTGCTGCAGTGCTGAATGTTGAACAGGGACTTCCAGTGAGATTCCATGCAGTCACTAGACCACTGATGATTGGGTTTCATCGGGTGACCCAATAAATATTTCAGCAGCGACTCTAACGAACGTTCTGGGGCGACAACCGTCACATGCCGGGAAATCATTAACGTCGGTTGCAACGTCCCTTCACCAGCATACACTGCTCTCACTTTTGCCTTTGGGTCGCATTTGTTAGGCTCCGCAAATGCTCAAGGTCGTAATACAGAAATCGAGCTCTGGGCCCTATCCCGATTTGAGGGTGACAGCTGCGTGTGTGTTTGCCGTGGTCCTGTGCTGCTGCATATCTGGCGTGTGCTTCCTTCATCCCGGACCGAGTACGAGTAACTCAGTGCTTATTGCACCCGAGACGTCTCATGTACATTCCAACAGCGGAACAACTATCTTCCTATGTCTACAAAGGGCTGTCTAGGCTAAAACAATTTTAACTGTAGTTAACGGGAGTCGACGTGTGGAGCACGTTCGATGTCATTCTGTCATTCTGCCCGCACATGGCGGCCATTAATGATTCATGCATGATTCTGCTTTTGGATTAGAGTTATGGTCGATGGCACAGTACTTGCTGGTATCCGTGAACCGTCGGGTGCTTTTGGAGGCTGAACAAAGTCACAAAATCAAAAATGACATGTACATGGAGTCGAAGATACGTGCATTCCAGTTAACCGGAATGACCCTAGTCGGTTAACATACTTGAATGCTTAAGCGCTTGTTGATGACCGCAGATGTTGAATATTTGAATGATTAAACAGACGTCAAACCTCTGTCGAACAATCAAATAATGGTTTGAATTCCTCTGTGACTACTTGTGGCGCCATTACATAATAGAGATCATCAACTGCACGGTTTAACAGCAAATACTATAGTGGACGCAGATTTACTACGATTCCCACCGGGGGGTCCATCTGATAGTCTTCGAGGAGCTAGTGTGCGATAGTTGGGTTGAACATGTGAGTCCTCTCGAGACACCAAATGCACTAGTTAATTTATCGGTGGGCAGGTCGACTCTGAAAAACTGAGATATCCCGCGGAGTTATGAGTAGGACTAGGACGTTGGCTATATTATTATAGTCCGTGGAAGGATTCGTGTCATGCATCGTTCATTTTCTTCTGACTTTTACTGGCCGGAAACTAAATATAATTCTGACTAACTGACTAAGCCCTAACATGTAGTGGTGCGTGTCGAGCGGATGAATATTACCCCTAAGGCTCTGCCGGGAGCGACTGAACACAATTTTACGGCACGGGAGGCCGTAAATAAGCGATCTTCATAGTAAGTAAGACTTTCTTGTTACCAATCTTTGACTCAACTATCTAGATATACCTGAGTCAGCCAAATCGTTTTGCTCAGTAAGACAGGCACCTCGGCACAACTTTCCAGCATTCCACCCTTAAGTATTACACCAGCTAGTCATGAACCCACTTTCTTTTTGCCCGTTCTCTGTTGACGCTGTCAGTCCGTTCTTGAAATCCACTCGTGGTGCCCTCGAGTGACGAGTCTCTCACAAAATGACAACGACGGCCGACCCGTCATCTCCAGTCAAAGAGACCAAACAAAGCCCAGGCGCATCATGGAAAAAGGACGAGGAGCATATCGTCCCAAAAAATCGTTTGGGAATCGTGTTCTTCGGTTTGATGTGCAGTACATTCTTGGCAGCTTTAGATCAAGTATGCAAATTCTTATGTCGTTCGTGAAAATCTGACTCACATTTTACGAGACTATTGTAGCCACTGCCTTGCCCACAATCGTAGCGGACCTTGGAGGGGGGAATAACTACAGTTGGGTAGGAAGGTTCGTCTATGAAAATCAAGGTTGGTCCCATCACACCAACATCTTTTCATGCAGTGCGTACATGCTGGCATCCGCTTCTTTGGGCCCGCTATACGGCAAACTATCCAATATTTTAGGTCAGTGCTATTTCAGTGCTATGCTTACATATGTCATTAATGATTGGCATCTCCAGGCCGCAAACCCGTACTATATGGGTCCATCGTCATATTTTTAGTATGTCCCCAGCACGTGGATCCCATTTGACATTAACATTATAGATCAGATTGGTTCAGCGTTATGCGGCGCAGCCCAGACTATGACATGGTTGATTGTCTGTCGTGCTGTACAAGGAATTGGCGGCGGGGGCATCATGCAACTCGTACAGATCACTATATCTGACATTGTGTCATTGCAAGAGTGAGCATTTTTAACTAATCCTGGTTTGTTTTTGATCTTGTCTATTTTTCAGCCGAGGCAAGTATGGTGGTTTCATTGGTGCCACCTGGGGCATAGCAAGGTAAGACTGACCGGTCAAGTCCTCAAAGGCTCAAACCTCATCGATTTTCTCAGCGTTATTGGACCATTAATCGGCGGTGTAAGGCCCCCGCATCTTCTGAAGCTATCTGAAATTTGATCATTTTTTTGTACTCTAGGTTTTCACCGATCATATAAGTTGGAGGTGGTGAGTATTCGCATTCTGTTTTCAATCAAAATCTCAATCGATGCGTACCAGGTGCTTCTGGATCAATTTGTGCGTTTGATGTGTATCTCCAATGTTTGTGCTCAGATCGGAAGCTCATTATTGAGACAGACCGACTGGGGGCTTATCTGGGATACTTTTATTCTTCTTCTTAAACTTAAACCCCCATCAAGGAAGACCATTCCGTGACCATCTACGAGAATTTGATTTCGTTGGGCTTTTCGTGATTGTTATAGGTGTCATTTGCGTGCTTATAGGTTTCAACTCGAGCGAAACGACATGTAACGCTATGCTTTCTGTTCTAAAGAACCAAAACTTATCGGTCTTTAGGGCAAAGCGGAGAAACCATTGCTCTCCTTGCTGTGGGAGGCACGTTGCTAATCATTGGGGGCGTTAATGAGATATACACAAAGCGATCCCCCATTATCCCTCCTCGTCTTTTCAAAGTGAGTTGTCAAGAGAGTCATTCATCTTGTCTCTCATGGTTTTCCAGACACGCACAACTGGCTTGATATTAGTTTCTGTAGTCTTCCATGCTGTGGTATTCTTCACAGGTATGTGCGCATACCTGTCTTGGGTCTTAGTAACCATACATATCGTTATTCTAGGTTCATAGTGAGTATTTTGTACACAGCGTTTGTATCTGACATTCTCATGCGGTCTTCTAGCTACCTTCCAATGTACTACCAAGGTCGATCTGTCTTACAGCTTTCGAGTATGCATTTTACTGAATTCAACGCAAGTTCTTGGCGCATCGGCAACGAACTCTGGCATTAAGTGAGCGTTGAATATGTGTCATTGTTTCCAGGTTACTGATATACGCAGAATGCTACCTTATTCATTGACCACTTCGCTCATGTCAGCGCTTTCCGGAATAGTTGTAACCAAAACGGGATCCTACCGTCCTGCCATGTGGTTCGGATGGAGTGTCATGACGCTTGGTTGGGGTCTCATGATCATGTTGGACAATACGAGCACTATGTATGTTTATAGTCACTTCCGAAGTCAAGTGATTACTATAGCTCTTTTAAACAGCGCAGAGCAGGAAATCTACCCCTTGATTGCAGCACTTGGTATTGGTTGCTTGTTCCAGGTGAGTTTACTACATCATCATAACGATCTGTACTCAGCGTCGCTTCTGTGATAGACCCCGCTTGTTGCTGTACAAGCAGCAATGCCTATCAAAGACATGGCCACCAGTACAGGTGCTTTTGTGTTCCTCCGGTGAGTGTTACTTTACAATGTGCATTTCACTGGTACTCATTGGTTTTCAGAACTCTTGGGGGTACGATCGGTATTACGATCGGAGAAACTATTCTTTCCAGTGTCCTTCAGCAGAAACTGCGGGGCATCCAAGGCCTCACCATAGACACTTCTGCGGCAGCCCTGAATGATAGTATCAGGCAGATCTCTTCCATTTCTGTCAGAAACAATTTCATTATCTTTGTTCCGGTTTACTTACAGATCTTACCAGAATCCAGTAGTGCGTAATGAGGTTATGCATGCTTACTCGCGGTCTATCAGTACCATTTGGTTGGTCAACACGCCACTATCTGCATTCGGTCTCTTTCTAGTTCTCTTCATTCGTGGCTACACGCTAGAGCGCACAATCATCCGTGGCGGCGAGAAGAAGTTAGGAGACGTCGAGAAGGGTGCTGTTCAAGTGACGATAGAGGAAGACTCACCAGTCACGGAGTCAGGATATCCTGAGAAGGAAAAGAGACAAGACTCCTGTGACGACACCACTGAACCCACATGAACGGACACGGAAGATGATACTATTGGTGTCAAGTAGAAGATGGAAACATAGAGTGAGGGACATCTGATACCCCTGTCTCAGACCTGCAGGTTGAGTACCTGATTATACCTTGTCGATGGTGGTCTCTGGCGGTGCATGAAGCTTAATGACTTGCATAGCAATTATTTGGAACTAAAATGTATGGCCTGTAGTAAACGGAATAGAGCTTTGTATGTATTTCTCTCACTTGCAGATCGATGTCAATCATCTAATATACTCATGTGTGGAATATCAGCATGGTGGCTTGCTAGAGTTCTCGTAATCAACATGAGATACACACTATCACCGCGACAGTCTGCCTTGTCTTGACTCGTGATCAGTTGCATCAAGACGTTTTTCCTTCGCGTGCATTGGCAAGACGATAATCTGGATCATACCGTGAATAGAATAAAAAGTTCGATGAACCGGAACCTGGATGAAACCACCATGACGGAGCAAAGCCAACGCGACAGCACTAGAATATTAGCGGGCTGACTATTGCAGCACCTGCAAATCATTCTTCAATATCGACGTTTATAATTAGCCACGAAAGCAAAAATACTTCTACGTAGCAGGTCACGTGGGATGATTTTTCGAAGTAGTAACTTCATTTTTGCGATCCTTCACTGGCACTGCTAGTCACTCCCGTCGGTCTTTTGTCCATCTACTGCTAGTCTAGCGCAGGTGATCAGTATATCAATGGCTGCTCGGAACGACGAAGATGCGGAGATGATAGAAGTTCGCCCTCGCAAAAGGATTCGCAGCAGCACAAAACGCAAACGTGCGACAAGTCCCACTCACTTGCCCAGAGTGCCTATATTGTTTGCACCATTCCGCGCTCTGGGGCTAATCACAAACCATATACCATTCTATATACAAACCCGCTCTTACAAGGATGCAACTGAAGGGCCCCGGATACACATTTTGACCTGTCTTGGCAGATCATGGGCGTTATGGGAGGGGGGTAAGATGGGCCTGTTATTTGTGGGTAAGTTATTGGTATGTCTCAAGTCAGAAGGCATGCTTGATTTTCCTGTGTAATGGTGCACAGGTCCGGAAGTTCAAGACCCTATTTCGTGCCTAGTTATGGATGGAGATGCTGTTTGGGCAGCGTCTGGCGTACATGTAATCAAATATCTCCGAGGAAAAGAGGTAGGAACTTTCAGATGTTCCACGTACTTTTTTGACTTAATTACAGGTTTCGCGTGTGTCGAATCCGCTCCAGACCCCCTTAGCATTCGTCATTCTATTTGGTACTCAGTTGCTTGCATTGACGGAAGATGGTGCGCGGATGATAATATGGGAGGTATCGACCAATGGTGCGCTTTCTACTCGATCACCTCGAGTATTTGTTTCATAATTACTCCAGAACAAGCCCTATCTACAACTATTCAGTTTGATATTGGGTTTACTGCTACATCAATTCTCCATCCTGCTACATATCTGAACAAAGTTTTGGTTGCCGGCAAGGAGGGCGATATGCAACTTTGGAACATCCGTACACAGTGAGTTGAATATCTGCAATCTATTACTTGGATTCAATGGCTACTACAGGACTTGTATACACAAATTTTCTAATTCTCTATTGCGCACATTACCATCTCAGCAGCATATGAACTCATTGTCGAGTCCCATCACAGCATTAACGCAGTCCCCTGCTATTGATGTAGTTGGTGTTGGTTTTATGTCAGGAGAAATATCTGTGTACGACGTTCGTGCTGATGAGCGGCTGATGAGAATGTACATGGATAATGGTGGAATCAAAGCTTTATCTTTCCGGAGTGGTACGTTGCTATAAGCACGAGCAAACTCAATTCTGATCTCGTTGCATACTAGATGGTCACCCGATTCTGGCGTCTGCCTCGTCATCTGGACACATAGCTCTCTGGGATCTAGATTCTGGAGGCCGGCTTCTGCACCTCATCCGGGGTGCACATGATGGTGCTGTTAGTGCACTTGAGTGGGTCCCTGGTCAGTCTGTCCTCATCAGCTCAGGTGAGGATAACAGCGTCAAGGTAGTTATAAGAACAAGAAAGTCTATTTATCACTGATGATCGTTAAATAGCAATGGTTGTACGAATCCCCTACCGCTGTTCCTCGACTCCTGAAATTCAGATCTGGTCATCATGCACCCCCACATCTCATTCGATTTTATGGCGAAGATGGTAAACAATTGCTGTCTGCATCAGCAGATCGTACCCTACGGTATATTTCTGTTGTTCGAGATTCGAGGTCATACGAAATGTCGCAAGGTGGGTATTGAGTGCAGAATAGTGTTATTAATGGCTAACCTGAATTTGCGCAGGATCTCTCGCACGGAAAGCTACGACTCTGTCAAAACCTCTTACTTCGTTGAAATTCCCTCCTATCACCTCCATTTCTTGTTCCTCGACACGATCCAAGGACTGGGATGACGTTCTGACTGCACATGCTGATGAGATGTGTGTACGGTCTTGGACAGTACTCAACAAGCGCGTTGGAAAGCACACGTTCAACTCCGCTGAGAGTTCCAAAAGGAAGTCTCCCTCAGGTGTTGTGAAAGTACGTCGTCTTTCTTGCTTCATTCTGTATCCTCATCCTGTAATTTAGTGTGTTTGTGTTACTGCTTGTGGAAATTTCGGTCTTGCGGGATCTTCAACCGGAGAGATACACATGTGGAACATGCAGTCTGGGTTGAAGCGAAAGTCGTTCAAGGTTGGACCTTGCCCTCAAGCCGTGATTGATCGTCTTGAGCTTTCGTCCATGACAAAAACAAAAGCCAGCCAGCGTAGTATTACTGGCCTGGCATCAGATGCTCTGAACCGCGCAGTCATTGCCACTACTTCAGATGGCACTGTGAATGTGAGAATTCTTGCTGCTTTCACCGCTTTCGACTCGAAATGACTGATGGTTATAGTTCTTTGACTTCCACACCTGCACTCTGGACCAAGTGATAGTTTTACCAACTCCAGCTAGTTCGATGATGTTACAACGAGACTCTGGATTACTTGCAATCGTCTGCGATGATATGGTCGTTCGAATCATTGACATCGAGACTCGTAGAGTCGTCAGAGAACTAGCGTGTGGCGTCCATGGTCGAATACTTGACATTGTGGGTTGCGGACATTACGTTGGATTTCAGAACTTTGCTGAAGCAGTAACAGGCATTTTCGTCAGATTCCCGTTGGATAGTGGTCACATCGTTGGACTCTGTGATACGGACATTCGATATACCTACTGGTCAGCTAATAAATGCGTTCCGCACACCTAGTGTTGCCACGAGCATTGCGTTCTCGCCGACAAATGACTTTTTGGCCACTACACATGTTGACAGCGTTGGCATTTTCCTTTGGTGAGATGCTACGTATCAACTCCTTATCTCAGTTGATAACTCTGGATAGGGCAAATCGGTCTCAATACTCTGAGGTTGCATTCCGTGCAATTTCAGAAGACGATATTGCGGAAGTTGCGCTTCCTTCGATGCAAGGATCTGAAGAAGATGAAGGTGAATTAGTCGTTCATTCAGTTCTATGCATAATCGCTGATTTATATCCAGCATTAGAAGCTTTGGAAAAACTGGGGGTGGAAGATAAGCCCGCAGACGTCTTCTCGACGCCATCTCAATTAGATGGAGATCTTGTGACATTAACGTTACTCCCTCGTGCACGTTGGCAGACACTGCTGAATTTGGAGGTTATACAGGTTTGCACTCGTCTGTTTGTTGTTTTACACTGGAATTAATTATTTTGTAGCAACGGAATAAACCAAAAGAGCCACCGAAGAAACCTGAACATGCACCGTTCTTCTTACCCACGTTACCGGGCGTCGAGCATCGCTTTGCGGTCGAGGAGAAGAAGCAAGAGATGCAGGACAAACACACCCGCAGACTTGACAAAATTGCTGTGAACTCGCAAAGCACGTTACAAAAGTTGCTGGTCGAGTCAGATAAAAATAGCAGCTGTATGATTCTTTCTGTTCGCAAATGTTCATGTTGACTCAGGCTTCTTCCAGCGAATGATGCATTGTTCGACTACATCAAGAGCCTCTCGCCGGCGGCAATTGATTTGGAGTTGCGCTTGTTAGCGTTCAACAGCCTCAAACAATTTCTTCGCGCCATCAAGCGACGCCTGCAGTCGCACCTTGACTTTGAAGCTGTGCAGGCACTACAAAATGTCGTCCTGCGAATCCATGCGGACGTGATTATCGAAAATGAGGATTTGCGGACTGAGTTAGAGGAACTCGTGAAAGTGCAGAAGAAAGAGAGTGGGCGAGTGTTGGATTTGCTGGCTTCGTCACTCGGCACACTTGGTTTTGTTCGGGATATACAATAGACAGTGTCCCCTAACCACAAGCACACAAATAAACAAGAGGCAGCGAATTGTACCACTTTGATAGCAAGCTTCAAATTTTAAAGTTGACAATGTTGATCCACAACTTCAAGTCCATTTGATATTACGTAAATGCGGACTTGCACGTGCCTGTGTCGCGAACGCGTCTGCATTTTGTTGATCATCATCAGATGCCACGTTTGGTCGATGTACCATCACTAACAGCTCCATTTTGTCTATATGCCCGGCTTCAAGCCAACTAACACATCCTCGCCCGCGAAGCCTCTCGTTGCAGCTCAACGTTCGTTAGTCTCTCTCCAGGCAACAGTATCCGATGTCTCCCGCGGGTCGGCGGCCTCAAAATCTGAACTACACAACCTGACGTCTGCAGAAGTCGAGTTTTTTGATGCAGTTGTCAAAAGAATACCCCCAAATGCTACCTCGTTTCTCTCTGGACTAAAGGCGTACAACGATGAACTGCACGATCGGGGCTGGGATAGCCAGACGGAGACAGTGCATTACGGGAGGCTGCTGGAGCTCTGCAAACTCCGAGGATCAAGCTGGAGTCACAAATGGGAGGGGGTGAAACAACAGCATGGTTACAGCGGTCCCTCGAGAGTTCCAATCCCTACGATGTCTGCCAAAGTACCCATTCCGACTTCGAAGCCTGCGAGATTGACTGCCCGTCTCGCAACACCTGTCCGCGACGAGGATGACGATGTGTTTACCCTCCACTCTCACCAAGACCAAGACCAGGAACAGGATGGATCTGTAACAGAAACAGAAACCCCTCTTTCTGATGCCGAATCCGAACAGGCCCCTCCTCGCCCCCTCACGCGCCTGAGCCAGGCTACACGTCCCAACGCATCAGTACAATTAACACGGGTCACAAGGACGCATGCAAGCCGCCCTTCGAACAGCATCCTTCCACCTGCTCTTACACGTGTATCTACGCCCCGTCCTCAAGCTACTGGTCATTATCAGCCAGCTGTGTGGGAAGGAATGTCAGACACCACCGACGGTGGTGATATACCTGGCTCTTTATCAACTACTCCGCCATCTTATCGCGCTGCTGTTGCAACGCCTGTCCCTCAAAAAGCACGGGGTCAGCCGATAATTCCTGCATCGTCACCGATTCAAAACTCCGTAGCAGTCAATGCGATTGAATTTGCAAAGGGTCGCACGCGCAAGGGAAGCGTGATAAATGAAGATGAAGCGTGGCAGAAAATTAAGGTGTCACGAGACGAAGAAGACGCTGATAAGTTCCGTGAAGACAAACTCCTCGAACACTGTTGGGAGATTTGGGTTCTTGGGTACCAGTGGCTAGTGGTAGGTATTTTTTTTATTGTGATTTAATCAGATGGTAATACTTCAATCTAGACAACGAACGAACAAGTTGCTCAGGCTCGAGATAATGTAATCCTAGGTTCTTCATTACGCTCCTGGCGGAATGCTACTGCCACGCGCCTTGAAATGCATGCTCGCGCTGCTTCCATTGCCGATGCGCGCTGCCTTCGTTTCGCCCTTGGTGTTTGGGGTGCGAAGCATAAGCAGAAAAAGCAATTACAGTGGCGTCATGACATGCGCGCCAAGATGAAGACGGTTCGCGAAAGGCATGAAATTAAACTTGTCAAAGATGCATGGGTCAAATGGCAACAGTCCCACCGCTCTATTCTAAACGAATTGCAGTACAATGAACGTATAGTTGCACGGTTCTTCCTGCGATGGAGAAACTCTTTGTTGAAGCTAGATCACATGGATTCCGCTGCAGACGGGTTTGCTCACAGGATCAAGGGGAGCGCTGCTCATAGAGCGTGGAAGCACTGGAAAAAAATCATGGCTGCCAGAGATGCTGAAAAAACCGTTGCACACAAAACGGCACTCAGAATCAAAGGAATCATGATGGACTTGTGGAAGAAGCAGACGTAAGTTGATATGGTTTTCTTCACATTCAGACAGCCAACACCTCTTGTAGCCGTGAGCGCCAGACAGCGGGTGCCTATCGCGATGTTGCTATCTTAAAACGAGCAATAAGCAGATGGAAAACTACCAGAGATCGAATGCGTGTACGTTCCCTCACTCAATAATTTCGAACAATACTCATTTTAGTAGGTCACGGAAAAGCGTGCCGACAAATATCTCGCTCGTCAAGATGTTTTTTTGCTCCGAGCCGTCACCAGAGTCTGGAAGGCCCGCGAACGCGGGAAACTGCTCGAAAGGGTGAGAGACATGCGTCTAGTGAAAAATTCAATGGCTGTTTGGAAGGATCGCATGAGAGAACGCAAGCATCTCGAAGGTGAGTGTATTTTAGCAATCAGATCATCCCAGGGATCTTTAACGACGAGATAGATTATGCTCTCGCATTCTCCATGCGCTCCGATTCATATACTGTCTCTTCTGCTCTGCGAACTTGGCATCAGGTCTATACAATTTACCAAAACCGCCGTGCCTTCGCTGTTCAACGCAACCTTGCTCGTGTGCAGTATGATGCGCTACTCAAGTGGCGCATCCAGCTGAGGGCGAAGATGAAGCTATTGAAACAAGCTCGATTCGTGGAGAACTTCATTCTTCAGCGAAAGATTTTGAAAGCCTGGAAGGTCAAGTTTGAGGAACGCCAAAGGCAGAAGAAACTCGAACACCTCGAGATTCGTCGACTTCGCACTTTCATGACAGGTAAAGTTGACGCATCTATGATCTGATTTAGTTGGTTTCTAATATTTTCATTTCACCTAAAGCGTGGCACCAGAAATATCAAAGAATGCGATTCCGCCGGCTGGCAGCGCAGCAAATAGATGACCTCGTGTCTCTGGCAAGTCGGACGATTTTCAGGCTTTGAAATTCAGTCTAATTGCATTATAGCGAATAAAACGGGATGCTTTAAGACTCTGGACCAATCGTGTCATTGAAACCAAGTTGCGGGAACTGGAAGTCAGCCAGAAGAGCGCCCACGCACTAACAGTGTACGCGACCCTCTGCATCTCTATAAAAACGCATCTGACTTTTTCCTCAGCTTCGCCTTCAAGAAGTGGAAGAATATATGTTTGCGCCACGTTGAAGACCTGAGCCTCATGGAGAGTCATCTTGATATCAAACGGGCTGGTCAGTACTTAGGTCGAGGTCATCTAGCTGATTGTTTGACTCTTGCACTGTAGAGAGCGTTCGCCGGATGTTCCATCGCTGGCTGATGGCGGCCCGTGCTCGACATCATAAGCGCGTTACTTTGCGCGAAAAGGAACTCGAATTTGACCGGGCAAATGTGCAGGTTGCTTGGAACAGGTGGAGAGAACGGTATATGGATGAGAAACTTCGACCCCTTGTGAGTTCTGTGGCATCCTCAACAAAGCATACCTCCGTAACTCCGAAAACAATAGCTACGCCAGATAGCCCTTCAGAATCAAAAGAATCTTCTCTTCCGTACGTTTGGTATTTGGCATTCGAAGACTCGGGTATGTTTTTTCTTTCATTCTAACAATAACACATATGTTAACACCCTTTCAGTCTCTCCCAGCCATCCGCTTCCAAGCCTCACGAACCAAGATGAGGTATTGGGCTATCTGGAGAGCTGCTATGCCGCAGGCACTTCTGTCTAAAAGAGCACGAGAGACTCATAATGATGCCGTCCTCAGTGAGATTTTATTTATATGACGATCATATACAGTGAATAACTTTCGTAATCCAGATCGAGTATTCGAAAAGTGGCACCAAGCCTACAAAACGAAAACTCACTTGAAGGAAATAGCGTGAGTTCTTTCCTCTACATGACTGCGCAGTTTTGTTCAATGCCTTCAAATAGCCGTGCTCGCTATCTTCGTTTACCGTCCGTTAGTCCCGGGCGAGCCAACCCGACGCCCAAGCCCCCGGCACGCACGAGTCGCAGCCCATTTCCTCGTCAAAATACCCGTGTAGAGAGCGAAACGGAAGGCTCGGAAGTGGGTCCGAGCCGCCCTACTCGGTCTTCTGTTTTGGTTAGCAGACCTAGCATTGCACGTCTTCTTACAAACCAAACTCGTCCCGAACCTATTGGCCGCCAGAGTGCCAAGCCCTCAAGTCGGGGACTCCGTGATCCCAGTCCGACGAGATCGAACAAAACTTCCATACCACCATCCCAGGCACCGCCCTCACCTGTACGACCCAGGTTCACGGTGAGACGGGCCATCAGCCCTGCAATGTCCAGAAGCTCTCGTGTTAGGGAAGTTAGTCCCACTAGGTCAAATTACACTTCCACACCTAGGGAAGAGCCCGAGCGCAGTCGACTCTGGCAAGAGCTGAGACAAGTGCAGAAGAGGCCAAAACCCCCAACGGAAAAGTCACGAACATCTGAACCTCCATGATGATGGCATACCGATGTTGTCCTTTTACTTATAACTTATTCAATTTCATGCAATTTCCTCGATATGCACCACGTTTGGATACCCATTTATGCACATGTAGTACGCCATCGCAGGCTAGACTTTGTAATACTTGTATCAAAAGTTTATGCTCGAATATCTGGTGCCGTGCGTTGTGTGTGCTGTAATTCTGCCTTATCTCTGAATATGCTGGCGGTCACATCGAAACCGAGTTCAGGGAAGGTGGAGGCAAATAGCAGCAGCACTCACAATCAAGAATTCTGATAGTACTGCCAGCCTACCCAGTTTGCAATCACAAAGTATGCGCCCATGGGAATGATGAATAAGGCAAGGTACTTGTAATGGGTGTCTTGTGCGAGGACGTCAAGGGCCTACCAGGTCGACAATTCATATATGTGCCACGACGACATCTTAACCAAGAACGTACATGAATACCAGAGAGCGGTAGAAACGTGTTGAAGAAGATCACATAGCTTGCAACGACAAAGAATGCGGCCGTCAAAGTCGTTATGATATGGCCGATGTTCAACATCACACATGGTCACGGTAATTGGTGAACGTTAACACCGAAATGGTAATAAGCAAGGAAACGTGTTTGTGTGTGAGTTATTACAACTGGGGTTTTCGGGCGAAAGATGCTCTAGAACTACATGGGAAACTACGAGTGGACAAGCCACAAAAAAGTACTGCAATGAGAATATGATCCGTATCGTACGTAGCTAGGGTGGTGATTGATAAGTTTTCTGAATATGATTCCTGATAGTGGTACAAAAATTAGAGAGCGGGGGTAGACTGATCAGGTAAAGTGAATGGGCATATGATCGATGAGCATCGAGAAAGCGAAGCGAGAAGCGAAGCAATATGCATGCAGAAGGCTAGTATGCATGCAGTGGAAAAGTCCTCAGAGGCACGTGAACTTCATAAAACCGAAAGGCTGGAAACGGAATGCACATCGTGGCATAAAGCTTGTCAAATCATCTAGACGCTGAGCCTCTGTCGCGTCTCCATGGAAAGGTCAGAATACGAGAACGGCCGCTTGTGTCGTAATTCATCAAAGTCAGAACGAGAATCCGATACAGGAAAGTACTCCCTGTCGGTGGTCTCCGCAGGGTCATCCATCATGTTGGTCTGGAGCTGATAGGCACCAATAGCATCATCTATGACGCCAAGAGACCGAGGCAACGGACGTGATACCGAGAGCGAAGCCGGCGACGCCACATCAGGTGACATCGCATTCGCTATATCGGATTTAACACCCGACTCCATCGCGTATCCCAACTGACCTGAGCTAGCTACCAGCTCTGCATGAGTTACGCTGGAACCGGCATGCGAAGATATTGACCCAGTAGCGCTCGTCCGCCTCTTTTTCTTGGGCCGGCGAGGAGGTTCCGTAGATACCGGAGGAGAATGAGAATACTCCATTGCCTGGAAGGTTGGCATGTACACAGGTCCTGAAGGGGGGCCAGACGGAGGGCCTGGTCCTGTATCTTTGTCCCCGTTGGTAGAGCCAAACGGATCAAGGGAAGAATGTTTCCCACGAAGGAATGGACTAAGTCCAGTACGTTTCTTTACCTCCTCAATGATGATGTCAAGACCTTTGCCGGTGACGTTTGGTGATGACTCCGCCACGTGGCCATAGGTAAGGGAACTAAAGGCGTCGTCATCAGGTAAGTCTTGGAGCACCCCGCCTTGCCTCAAGCGCTTTTCCAGGGCGATTGCAACTGATTGCAGACGCTCGTCGTGATCTCTTAGGACAGAGATACCTTCAGAGCGACGAGCCCAATACGAAAACTGTGTGTTGGACCAACCAGATAGAACTAGGATGGTGGAGCGGGTCAGGGTAACAGATCCTGACGGAGAGCCCGGAAATATATGTGCTAGGGACTTGAGCGGATTGTACGGATGTCTGATAAAAGAGCACAGCAAGGCGAAACATTTAATTTTAATTAATTCACCAATGAGATGACGGCGAAACTCACGGGACGTAGGTGCGCAGCACTTCTTTGACGACTTCGACTTTGATGAGAAAATCAATTGCTGTGGCGCCAGGACTAGAAGTACTAAGTCCACCGCCTCCGGTGCCTTTGGTTTTGACTCGCATCTTAGACTTGATAGGACCGAGTCTACGTTCGAATAACCGTGCATAAAACGTGTTCCATTTTGGTTCCCCTAGCTGGTCGCGCAAAAACGCGGACGCATAGGGGTCGACCTGTGATGCCGCGCCGGAGTTTAGGCGTTTGTTGACGGAACGACTCTTAAGGAAACCATCAGATGATAGGCACATCAGAATATACTAGAACGCACATCAGTTTCATCCTTTCTAGCATTAGAGGGACTTGAATGGACAATGGGCGGTAGCATTGCGTGAGCGTATCTGGCAACTTTTAGGGGTGATGATGGAGTGTATGGAGTTGGAGCATTATCTGGAGAACGTGACAAATCGTGGAGGGCGTGTGCAAAGCTAGCTGAAGATGAAATTGAGGGAGAGGACTGAGGTTGTGACTCAGGGTCAGAAGGAGGACCTAAGGAAGAAAGATTCTGCGATTGTTGGAAGTGCTTTGTTTGCAACTGGGGATGATCATGTATAAAATCATTGGAGTGTGGATGTGACATATCCGAGGACAGGATATATTGGAGGTCGAGTTGAGCATCCGGCACATGACCTTGCTGCAAGGGGTAGGGATATGGACCGATGTCCTGGAAGGACGTATCGGTGTAAGAGTTATAATACACATTGTGGGATCCATTAATAGATACAGGGACGGTGCCGCCAATAGAGTTGTGAAAGTGAGTAGACGGAATGCTGAGGTCGTGAATGTCGGCGTCATTTGTGTGAGAGTCATGGTGACCTAGAATATGGTCATTAGCCGCCAGCACGTCGTGACCGTCAATGACGGTTGACATCAAATTTGGCATGTAGTCGTCGTCAACGACAGCGCCAGCGAAGAGAAGGAAGTAAATGGGTCAAAGGAAAGAGGGAGCTGAAGCTAAACGCTAATGTCATTCACCCACTTGTAATTAATAACTCCGAATGACAATTAGTCATGGAAATATATTTCCTTTTTAAAACATACGTGAGAACTATATACCGATGTTGGATAGTCATGGGTTTTGAGGGTTGTGGCTGATGATGATCATGTTGGTTTGACATTTCTCTCTTCAGCATGGATTCAGTAAACACTTCTAGGTGCGATAAAGAGAGCATATGCGAGTACATATATTCGCTCATTTGAATCGTTAGCCTTTCAATTAATCGCCTAGAGCCACCGTCTCAACGGCACAGACTTCGTTCAGAAACTCCGAGTCCTTCTCCTGCTCTCCCAGAGATTCCACCAGCGGAACTTGATCTCACTTTTTCCTTTGACACGATCATGGGTTTTTCAAAATTTTCAGAACCACAGTGAGTCGGATCATATCCTCGATTGCCCAATGCAGGGACGGTCAGTCACGGTAACCTCACAGGGCCGAGAAAGTCCAGAAGCGAGCTAGTAACGTGATGAAGCTAACTCAGGAGAATGAGAAGTTGAAAGAAGAGCTTAGAGCCATGACTGCTCGCTTAGAAGCTGCTGAACGCAAACGTCAAGAGTTAGCTAGCAGATTTCCGAAGCAACAACAGAACAATACGGCACAATCCAACAGGTCATAGAATTCGTTTCTCTTTCATTCATTCCGCATATGCTGTCAAGATCAGCTTTAAATGGACTCTAATACTCAGTTTAACCCCTTGATACCCCTCACTCCTTCCCACATCGTTGCTCTCCTTACTCTGTCGTTGTCATAAGCATTATTTAGACATACTATCCGATTTACATCCGATGAGGTACACGAAGCGTGCATGCATGACACCACGCTTTATGGTCCGAGTTTACAACGGGACCACGGTCGTGCACACACCGGGTACCGGTGACAGGGTGCGAATAAGCAACAGCGCTGCCGGCGTGTGTGCCGTAGTGATGTCCGTCTCGTTGCAATTGTTCCTTGAGTGCGTCTGCGCACATATTACTAATTGGTCCTATCTTCTCCACACTGCTATAAAGAGTGCAGCTTTCCAATACTTACTCCATTCCGATTCCCCCGTCGTTATCTCGAAATCGACAGGATGGCCTCCACACGCAGACTTTCGTCAACCCTTGAGATGACCTCCACAAAACAGCCTGCCTCTCGTCGAGGCTCAGAACGAAGGCCTCCCGATAGGCGTGGATCAGGATATTCGTCTGGTCAATCCAGACGCCCTTCTATCGACCCATCGAGGCTGATTCCGATGGATAAGTCAGTACCCTCCAATTTATATGATCCGATCACTGATATTTCTCCAATAGAACTACGCATGTTGGCGGCACCAATGATTTCAATGTCGTCTTTATCGGTGCAGGAAATATCATGTTTGGTGAGTTCTGCTAGTGTCATATCCGTACCTTACGGGTACCTGACTCATCCCCGCTACCCCAGGATCCGATGAAGGACCCTGGAATCACTCTTTCCGCTTCGAGCAGTAAGTCCTCCCCCTTGTCTCCACATACTCTGCCACCTAAAAACCATCACAGTAAGCTCGGTCTGCGTCTCAAAGTAGTTGCCCTCATCGATCCTGCGATCGAGCGTGCAACTGCCGTACTCCAAAAGAAATGCGACTCCTTCGTCATTTCCGCGTACCAGGCAACGCGCGTGTTCAAGACCCTCGAGGACTTTGTTAAGAACATGTCCCAAAAGGACCGTCCTCGCGCCATTGTCGTCGGTTCTCCTCCAATGTTCCGCGGAACCCTCCAACCGGGTCGCGACATTGAGATGCAAATTCTGAAATACTTCCCTGGCGTGGCCATCTTCATGGAGAAGCCCATAGCGACCGGTCCAAAGCATGAGCTGGAGCAGTCCTTCCAGATTTCAAAGGCGATCTCCGACTCTGGCGCCATCTGTTCCGTCGGGTACGTTTATAGACAGTTGACTCAACAAATGAAATGAATCTATCCTGCACAGGTACATGCTAAGGTACCTGAAAGCTGTTCAGAAGATGAAGCAGATCATCGAGGAGAACGGGCTCACCGTGATGGTCACAATTGCTCGTTATGCATGTGCTTACGAGGCGATCGCGAAACCTGACTGGTGGGATAAATCCAAGAGGTGAGCTGCGTTCTGGTCTAGAATGTGTAAGTCAATAACAGACTTTAATTCATTAGTGCTGGTCCCGTTATCGAGCAGGGGACCCATTTCTGCGATCTCTCGCGGTACTTTGGTGGGGAAGTTGACATATCTTCCGTCGCCGCTCATTCCCTTGACTGGGACGAGAATGCTGGCCATCTCTCCAAGGTGCAAATTGACGAAAGCAAGATTGCCCCGGAGAACAGGATTCCCCGTGTTACTGCAGCTACTTGGTAAAGATGCGTTGTTACTTTCGAGAAGCTAAATGCTAACATGATAATAGGAAATATGGTTCCGGTGCGGTTGGCAGTTTCATTCACACTGTGACCCTCCAAGGGCACAACTACAGCTGTGAGCTCGAGATCCATGCCGATGGCTACTCCCTCAAGTATGCTCCTATTCAAACTTACTGCATCACCCTCTTATGATATTCCTAGGCTCGTCAACCCTTACGTTCAGCCTACGTTGTATGTCCGCAAGCCCGGCGATGATCACGAACAAATGTATACCTTCCCCGATGACGACCCATTCTTCTCCGAGGTAAGTAGTGACATCCTTGAAGAAAAAATCGAGGCACATACATGACTCAGGTATCCAACTGGATTGACATCATCGAGGACATCGAAGAGGACCCTGAGGCTGCTCAGATCCTGAGCTCCTACGAAGGTACGTTTCCAGATAGACTTGTCACTCATTCACGATCTAACGTTATTCGTTGCAGACGCTTGCAGAACTTACGAACTTACGTGGGCCATCCGGGAGGCCAGCGAGCGTTCTCGCGCTGCTAGACTTGCCGCAAGCAAAGCTGCTGCCACTGTGTTTGAAGAGGAAGGCGAGGCTGAATAAGATGGCACATACCTGGGCTGGGAATCTTGGAGCGAAGATATCGTTCCGACTCGTTGTAAAGTAGTATTGTAAATAGTATAGATGGTGTGCACAACTTACATAATGTCTTGTGATTTTATTGTTCCTTTTCCGACCGATTTCATGACAATCCTATAGTAGCACCTTCTCAATGCCGTCAGGAAATTTGTAGCCTCCCTGGCGGCGAACCTGCGACGCATGGATCGGACCAGAACTTGGACAGGGAACCCAATTATGCAAACTCACCTCATCAAAAACTTCCATTTCCAAAATGCTCTTGTCATGACTCCATAGTTCACTCTCAAGCTTCCCGTCTCTGACGCATCGTGCAACCTCATCGGCCTGGAAATGCCAGCCCGAACCGACGTACTTAAACGTCCGGGTATCCTCGCGCGCGATTTCGCCCGGCTTGCCCTCTTTGAAGTATTGTACGGTATACCTGAGAGGACAAGGTACGGGCGCGTCGATCATGATAGTCCCTTTCTCAAATCGAATGGTAACGCCTGGGTTGTGGGACGCTACGTTCATACTACAGCTCAGGACTGCCTGTGCGGCGAGAGTAGAGCCTGTGCTGGAGTTGGGAGAGAAGGTGACGATATATGACGTGTTGCAGTCGACGCCGGTGATCGGTGTTTTGTACATTGTACCGGTGATGTTTGAAGGTTTCGTACGCTTATTGGCGGGGTGCTCGTAGAGAGCAAGAATTGTCTGCATAGACTTAAGCAGAGGATGCCATGTAGTCAACGGCACATACCCAGATTAGAGGATACGGACCACTGTGTCACTTTAGGTTAAACTGGCACTCAAAGGGAACATATCGCACTCACAGGTCAAGAATCGCACCCCCACCGAGCTTGGGATCGAGCATGCGATGAGTCAAGGGCAATTCTGCGAGTGACGTTCAAACGGATATCGCAATACAAGCAGGGTTGCTCACTGTCAATGCCAAAGTCGACGGAGAAATCAGCATGGACAACCACAGGCAGGCCAAGTGTACCGGAGTCGATAAGCTCTTTGACTTCCTTTGCGAGTGGCTGAAAACGCGTCCATAGTGCCTCCATGAAAAAAACCCCATTCTCTTTCGCCGTTGCGATGAGCGAACGCAGTTCTGCAGCGTTGCAGGTCACTGGTTTCTCGCATAGTACATGCTTTTTTGCCTTGAGTGCATCCAAAGCGTTTGTGTAATGGTACGTGTGGGGTGTACCTAGGGCCGAATATTGATTGTTTGTGGTCATAGTTTGGAAAAGTCATACCTATGTAGATAGCGTCTACATTCTTGAATGATGTCAAGAGGCAAATAGACTCGACGAAAGTGATCCACGAACCTTATCTGCATAGACTTCGTCATACGTTCCATACGCCTTTACAGTCTTGTCGCCGTTCACAAACTCATCGATAAACTTCTGGGCCTTCTCAACGCTTCGGGAGCCTACAGCAGTCACTTTGTGCATCACATCATTGGTATCACGCCTGAGGAAACTCATCAGTCTCAATCTCAAAGAAAATACATGCGCTCGTACGTGGTAGGATCAACAAGCAGATCCTTGACGGCAAACGGGGTCAATGGCTCACACGATCATGACACGAAGTTCCATTTTCTCACCGAAACAACTTGTTCTGCGATCCAACCCGTAGAGATGATGCCCCAGCGAAGTGTGAAGAATGTCATAGTTTCTGTCAAAGCTGATGTCAACTCATTTCTCTTGCAGCCAGTTTATATATCTATCGGAAGGCGGGGCGCCTGGGGATCCCATGATACTGACAGCCCGACCAGAATCGCAAAAAATAGACTTTATCGGGTGAAATCAAAATCTGAATGATATGCCACGGCGTCCGACGCAGTGTCTCGCGCGAAGTTCGGAAAATCATAGAATTAGAGTTACAGAAAACATGTGGTACGAAAAATTTCGAGTCAATGACCGGCTTACTGGATGGCGCACATAAGTGAAATTCAGTTTTCACTATGGGGTCCTCGCTCCTCATCGCTCCCACGGACCAATTCATCCTGCGGCGAATCGTCATCATTCAGTGATATTTGGGATGAAGATGTTTGTGCAAGATCATCGGAACGTTTCCTCTCTCTTTCTACCTTTGCCTTCTCTTGATCGAACAGTTTGTCGAATTCCTCTTGCAAGTGTGACTTCAATTTAGGCATGTTCGAAAGGTTGCGATCGCATTTCCAGCAAGAGAGATCTTCCTTCAGTAAAGGCTCATATTCACTCTTCTTGAGTTGAGAGGTCTAGAGTCATGGCAGCAGTCAACGCCGCAGAGAATGTACGGCAGCGAAGTACAAACAACTCACTGTTTTATAATACGACGGGTCGGCATCGAACCAAGAGAGAACATCGCTCAAATGAATAAAAAAGCCGCGCTTCGGATGGAAGGAATTGTAGTGTTTCTTCAACTTCATTCTCGGGGAACATAGGTCAGCAGAAAGTACGTGGAGATGGAGGTGTCTAGAATCACATATATGTATGAGTGCGTCAGAAGATTAATCAATCGAGACTTACTCCATGCTAGGTATTGCATGGAAGCCCATCCATATTTCCCACTTGAATCCATACTTCTTAAACATCTCACTTTCAATCATTTTCTTGACATTGTTCGCTTCTCGGCTTAGATCTATGAGGAGTTCCTTGGCGCAGTTTTTCTCGCATTTGAGCAGTGAACGTAGATTGGCGAGTTGGTACACATTGAAGGGTGGCCTGACACGAGGTATAACGAGAAAATGGAAGATCGATTTCGGAAATGCATCAAAAACCGTCAAACACGTCTCGGAATGTGAGAAGAGAACTGATGGAGGCAAACTGGCAGGATTGGACTTTTGCGCGTAGGCGCGAAAAATGGTCATGTTGGCGCTGGACATGATGTGCCTCACACTCTCGGCGTTGCGTTAGGGGAGTTGGTGAGCCGGCTGTCACGAAGACACGTATGTCACAATTCATGAATGTTGTGACCGTGACATACTACAGTTTTACCTCACCCTCGACTGCACATATTATTTACAAAGGACTCAAATGTCGCTCGCTTCGATTGTGCAAGCGAACGAGCAGGCGTTGCAGCCAAGTGATGATTCACCGATTCATAAGCTGGTGCAAACAGTCTTTGCAGAGGTTCTGGCCGAATTCAGTGGCTGGAAAGTCAAATACTGCGAGCATTTCATCCGCTCTCTGTCCCATGTCACATCAACTCCACGTGTTCCAATACCAGATGGCAATAGCACACCTCTCCATGCCGTCGGTAAGGCCGGTGGGGATCCGGACGGAGACACGGAAAGAATGGTTGCATTGACCTCTTACTCTGAAGATGGAACTCCAAGATCAACTTCCACGATATCTCTTCAAGTAGTACATGCCGAGCTTTTTGAGCCACACAAACCCTATGAATATTGCACTCCCATCTCAAGGAATATCTTTAGGGGAGATGATGACGATATGATGCCGTTCATCCCATATGCGGATGATCCAACCTTCGACCACGTAGATCATACACTGTGTTATGGCTCCTTTGCATGGCAAGATGATGACTATGATCCAGATTGTGAGTACTTACTATTCACCGGGTGTGATGAAGCATCATTATTGTGAATAGTAGAAGTTATTTCTTTAGAGGCAGCCTATCGCCTCCGTACGGTTCACAGTCTACTGTATCAGGATACAGATAGCACGGGGGTCCTTCCCTTCAAGCTTTTCTCAACTCCAGGAAAACCTGGACTGTTTACCCTGAGTCGTCGTCGGTATGGGGGTTCCCGATCATTTTTCGTGCTCGCATCCAAACTTTGAATAAACGTACAGTGATCTACTCAAATGGAACGGGACCACCATTCCTTGTCCCTACAGCTTTCCTTCTTCATTGCCATCTCACGGTATTCTTCAACATCGGCTTGAGCTCACTCATGCATTGTTTTGTCCTAACCTCAACTGTATTGAGCCACTGTGCCCTGTTCATGGTATGGCTTCCAAACTGTTGTTCCTTTTTGACGCCCAAACAGTTTAATTTGCAGTTGAAACAAACCCCGTGTCACCATCCCGTAAGCAGACTATCCGGCTGTCAGAGCTACTGAAACGTGTAGAACACCCCTGCGATGCTGGCTGCTTCTTGCAGAGCAGGACGGTCGAGGTACTCCCTCGCTGGAGTGAAGATGACATCGATTCGTTCAAGAGCATCTTAGATATTGAGCCAGATATGATACCTTGTGACCATGCTGAATTGTGCTTCAAGCCCTGCCATGAGGTTTGTCCACATGAAATGATGAGAGCTTTCCTTGGTCTGACTGTGGTTCAGATCCTTTATTATCGCAGATTACTATATTCAGATTTCGACGAGCTTCAAACTGAGTGCCCAAATGGGGAACGCAAGGGGAAGTCGCGATCTCTGGAATTTCAAGGTAGGGGCGATTGTATGTGGACACGTGTTACTTTACCGACGCTCCGCACGAGATAGATCGTGATCCGCTCAAGTTCACACCGTGCGTGCCCTTATTGCGTAAGTATCGAATGCTGTACTGGATACTTTCCACAGGAACGAACCTTGTCATCACTCTGGACCATGCGATGTTTTATCTGACTGTTTATGTTTCAAGAACAAGGCTCATTGCCAGCGAAACTGCCGTTGCCCTGGAAAATGTATGTTTATGTCTGTGTTGCCACCAGCACGAGGTTTGATGCTACCCTTTACCAGGTGCTCGGAGATGGAAAGGTTGTCGCTGTGCCAAAGCACGCGATGGGATGAGCTGTGTGAAGGTCAAGCGATGCTCTTGCCTCAAAGCTCGACGTGAGTGTGATCCAGAGCTTTGCGTAAAATGCGGATGTCGGTGCGTGATACCGACTATCTTCTATGTTGTGATTCGCCATTAATATCTTGTTCTTGGCAGAGGTATGTTACGTAGCATTCAGCAAGGGTTGGATGAGTCTAACTGAGTCGAAGACCCGGAAACGAGTACTTGCGGGAACTCGCAGATTCAACAAGGTCATTTCAAGGTATACATCTACATTGAACACACCAGACCGTACGAATAACTCTATCCACGATTATAGAAACTGGAGGTCAAGGAAAGTCGTTGGGGTGCAGGTGTATTCATTCTCGAACCGGCCAAACAGGGTGAATTGATCGTGGAATACGTCGGGGAGCTTATATACGAAATGACATTTGACAGCCGCGGGTGAGCAGCGTTCATCCCTGAAAATTTCCGTAGCTCACTGAGTTGATAGAGAGGTTGCAGAGCACCTTGGACGAAGTTATGTCTTTGGTCTCAACAACACGCTATCCCTGGATAGTTCGCGTGCAGGCAACATGTCAAGGTTCATCAACCATTCGGGCTCTAGTGGCGTCGGTAGCGAAACGCAGTGTAATTGTCGCGCTTTTGGTGTGTAATGCCTGTATCCCTTGATGTCCATCTCGATAACTCATCTCAAACATTTGACAGCGCGACTTGTGAATGGAGAACACCGTATAGGAATATTTGCGAGTCAGATGGTTTCCCTACTATCGTGGACGCGGAATGCTGATAACTGACACAGTAATGAACATTGACGCTGGGAGCGAGATCCTCATTGATTATGGCCCAGTGTTCTTCCCGGACCAAAAGAAGAATGCAGAGGCCTCGTAAGTCCTGCGCGCTAGTCATATTATCCCATAGCTAACTTTTTTGCTGCATTTCGTAGCCGTTCAAATTAATCTGGTTATTATCAAACCACAGCTTGTACTTCAAATACCACAGGCAGCATACTTAATTCTGGCTCAACACTGGGCAACCCTAATTTATTGCTCTCATATGTGGCATTACGAGGGACGGAACACCACATTGGCACCTTCATGGCCAAACGCACTCACCTGGAAGTTCCAATCACCAGCAGGAGTGGCACTGATTTATATGTATGCAAAATGCTATAAGACTGACGTGCACTGGGACTTGCAGATTCGAGCCAGGATTTGACGGTATTATACACGTGCATTACAGTATCAGTTATGCCGCACGACTACACTACATAAATCAATGTTCCCACTCGTCCGATTCAGCGCCCAGTCTTTAACAAGTCCCTAAGGTTGTCGCTCAGAGTAGGCATGGCTACCTTTGACAGAGACGCCTTTCCTTCTGAGGGAGATGTCCCTCGTCGCCGTAGCACACTACTAGTAGAATCAGTGGCTTCCTCCGCTCGCCTTCTGTCGATGTCTGCAACGAGCTGAGCAAATGACAAGAAGAGGACCTCTGCTTGGGCAAGAGTAGAATCGAGTTCAATGGTCATACTGAGTTCATTGCAATACTTCAGAATCTCGTCAAACTGGTTGGATACCCGGTAAGAAAGGAAGTTGCACCACAGGCAAGCAAGGCACGCACCTCTACGAGATACCGTAGGATCATGTCCCGATGGGACTCCAAGATTGCTAAAGCGACGAAGATAACGAATTCATTGCTGTAATAGTCCGTCCACAACACTTCCCATAGACGCAAGACATCGTCGAAAGGGAATTCACGTTTAAAAGCGATGAGGATCCATCTGGGATTAATAGAGTCAAAGACGTTTTGTCTGCGCTTTGCTCAAGACTTACCGGAAGCAAAAGAACAAATTGAGCGCGTCAGTTTTTTCTGTAGCAAATGAGAGTCAGAGTAGTTATAAACACACAAAAAATGGATTTAGTGACCTAAATGTCGATATAGATCAGGATCCATGACACTGATAAGTTCTTGGAGCGTCGAGAGTTGTTTCTTCATTCCACTCTGATCCCGAAGGAAATTTTGAATCTGTTGTGAATGTCAGAGACAGAATCTTCGTCAAGTTTCAGATGTACTCGCCATACGATTCATTACTTCCACAAAGCACCAGAAGGTCAGCTCCTCGTCGGAACCCATCACAACGTACAAGGGAGCGCAAAGGTCCGACATGCCCTGTACATACCCTCATTCCCTTCATGAGATACCACATGCAAATGTAGTATTCCAAATGCGCTCACCAAGCTCTTTATTGTAGAAATTGTATGTGAGGAGAATGCCTGCAAGACGATCGATATGTTCATTACTGGGAGATTGTGCACCGATGTCCGACATCTGGGGAGAGATCGTTGTGTACCGACGATCCCCATTTGAGCCATTGTCAGCGGTATCCTCATAGGAAGTAGAGAAAAGTGGCTGAGTGCGGTCTGTGCGGCGACAATCTACATCAATGCGGTGACGTTCTTCGAGGACATCCGGCCTGTCAAAGACCTCGGGCACACCACACCACTCATCCTTGATCTCACAGTATCGCTTTCTACATAACAGGTCAGAAGGTGTGGATCTGGTGGTGAAGGCAACATTACCTCTTCTCCTCCCATTTCGCTTCCCTCTCACTACCAGTTATGTCCCATTCGTGGACACCAAGTATGAAGGGCCACATTTTCTTCCTCAGGTTTCCATAAGGAGTTATGCCTCTCCTGAAAACCTGGCACTTCATCTCTTCGAGCCTGATTTTCGGTCGTCCGTCCTTATCAAACCACTTCGCCCAAAGCGCCTCGTCTATTGGGTGTGCCGGGTCTCGAGAAGTTTTGGGAGAGGGAAGGTTGATCGTGGAGTGAAGAAGCTCGAACACACCCAGCGGGGATATTTCCTCAACCACATCTGAGGAGGAGGGCAGTGCCTGAGCCTCTCGTTTACGCGCTCGATCGCCCTCTTCAGCGACTATGCGGGCCCAGCGAGCAAGATACACCCTCGCACTCTCAAACTCACCAACGCCCCCTTTCTCCACCCAACTACCCCATTCCAAGTCGCCGTTGGCATTAACTAGACTCTTGACAGGGTCTGGGAGATGCGGGACGATAGGCTTAGCGAGAGGATGAGAGAGAATGTTTTGCGCGGCGTGGCGTGTCGCTCTAGTGATATTTGAAAAGGATTGCAGCAGCGCCATCCGTGCATGAGAGCTGGATTGTGTGGTGGAAATGGAGGGTGGGTAAAGAGAGCGATGCAAAACAGATGGACGGGTGGGATGTTGGTTAGATGTATTTGCAGGAACACTGTATAATGGACGTGGGCGTCTGTGAGCAGGTACAGGTGAATGCGAAGAAGCATACGATGACTGCGCAAGGATATCATCCACAGCGTCGTCGTCAAATATCTGAGTGGTGTGCGTGTCAATGTCGGCTTTAGATGGGTCGACGATAAACAAGGAAGGCTGTAGTGTGGAACGGAGTAGATGGGCATAAGGTCGTAGACGAGAGAGCAGATCCTCGCCTCCCCATGAGGTTGAGGTTCGAGAAGACGATGGTAATGATGCGGGAGGGTATGCACCAGTGGAGCTGCTTTTACTGTATCGAGACGGTAGTGTCATTGAAAACGACTCGTCGTCATGGAAGTGCAGAGTTGGGAGTGTGGAACTGTTTATGAGGTTTATACCGATAGTACCATCTGTTGTTGATTAGCTTAGCCTTGTCAATGTCCAAAGACAACATGAGAACGTACGCCATGATGAAAGGGTAGGTGGATGGACAAGAAGAGAGTATATCGAAGTCAGAGGAACCGAGAATGCATAGGACTCTGGTCTTTGTGTAGGAAGGTCGATAAGGACCGCATCTTTGAATGGTGTAAGATTTCCGGGGTTCGAACAGAGAAAAAGGCTGCGGACCTTCATCCTCCTCATCCAACATGGCCTTCTCCTCAATCCTCACAAACTTGTCCCATTCGTCGGTTCCCTTCTCGCACAACAGTGTCTCTGGAATCCATGCAAGCAGATAGGTAGGATTGACAGCCTCCTAGACAGCAGAAATGCATATGCGAGAAATGCGAGACGAGACCTGGCTACTCACGCGTTTGACAAGAGCTACGAAACCCGGGATGTTATCTCTAGCGTATGCGGTTGGATTAACGTAGACTCTGGATTTACTATAGAGAAGGCGATATTTGCTCTCCTCCTCTGCAGAAGGGGATAATGAACCGCTGCTCTCGCTTTGGGTACGCTGAATCTCAACCATGGAATCGGACTAATGAAAGGGGCTTGGGTCAGCATACCACAAGGCCAACTAGCAGCAACTCACTGAAATTATGGACAAGGAACCGTCAGAGTCACAAGCACGATGATTCTCGCTCATACGCATCAGGACTTGAACCGCGGACTATTTAGTGTTCGTTGTACTGCGGCTGCGTGACTCTACTGAGTGTGAATACGTCAAATCTCAATTTGTAGTCCTCCCGCAGTTTGCCACAATTCCAGTACTCTAGTACATTCACTGAATTTCAAAAAAACGTTTGTTCACTTCGTTTAGTATCTGTTGACCATCAACGTCGACCACGCTTTCGAAGTACACCACGGTAAAGAAACGTTCTTCCAGAGCAGGTCTTTTTACTGTTCAAAGATGGGCCCGCGCCGCGGCAGGAAGCTAAACACCGATAACAGTCAAGATCCGTCAGTCAAACAACTGTGGCAGTAGTGTTTATATATATACGGAGCGTGGTAAGCAGCGAGGTTAGTATTAGACTGTAGGGCTGTTTAAGAGACCCTTTTGTAGGTCAAGATGCACGATTATTGCAGTTTTGTTCGTTAAACGCCAGGTCGTTTTGGTCCACGCGCATACGTAGTGTGCATGCACTTAACATGGGCATAAAGGTGTTCACCCCACAGGTTACAACATCAACAGAGCAAGTAAAATGATGATATGACGAACGCTCTAACACAACAACGTTTATTTTTGGTACGACCACACATTCCGGAGCACTATAAGAACAAACTATCAGTCCAGGCCAGACCAATGAATCATAGAGAACAAGACTTACAACCCGCCTTCGTTGCTAGCCGGTTAACAGAGTCATCGCTCTCCCCTTGTGATCGCACTTGTCCACAGAGCGCAAACGAGGTGTAAGTGGTCAGGGCACGGCCATTGGCGTCAACATCGGCGACATTGATCTGGACCGAAGCGTGGTCCTTGGAGGTAATTAGGCGGTCTGAACCATGGATGAGTTAATGCTCTAAGACGGTGTCTGGCTCAAAACATACTGGTGGCCGCACACTTGCGGGGGACGTAGAGGTCAACAAGAACGCCCTAATACCAAGGTAAGCGGCAAGACTAGGATGTAGCAGTGCGACGTCAATACAAACCTGGTCGTTTTCCATTGCGAGATCGAGATTTTAGCTATGGTGTGCGATGTGCAATCTACAGGGATGATGCGTGGGATAGTTCGTGAAGCAACTGTACAGTTTGTGCACGTGACCAGATATTATGTGATATTTGCATTTGGCGAACGGACCATTTTAATGTAGGTCGAAAAGATACACATACATATAATATTGTTTGTCTATCGTATCGTATCGTAACGTGATATGCAGTTGGAAAACGAAGTAATAGCATCAGGAGGATTCGAGGTACGATGATACTGGAAAAGAAATTTGAAAGATGGTAATGGAGATATAATGATAACAGAGATCAGGTGCAACTATCGAAGTAGGGCTCTGTAAAGCAGGAGCAGCGAGCAGAGGTCGGTGATGCGGAAGCGCAGAGAGCAGGTACAAATAGATACTATTTCAGATACAAAGAAGGCCTGATAAGAACAGCTATCGCTGATCCAAGGCAGAGCGTAGTCCATGGCGAAAGCGAAAATAAAGATCGTGCAATGGATGATTGAGCAGATTCGTGGCAGGATACATGGTGTTTGTTGAGATGGCGCAGTGAGAAATGACGATGGGCGCGAGTAATCCCCACTATTATAGGAAGATGCAGGTAAGATGGCGGTACAAGTGCTTTGCAAATGGTAGAATATCAGACGACGGAGTCGGGAACGCGTGGCCACGTATGAGTCAGCGCAACTACGAGGGGCTATTGGCAGCTCCATGCGGAAAGACTGGCATGAGGTTGTAGAAAGTGACTTGTGTGGGGTCAAAAGGTATCCTAGGGGGCGGGGTCTTGAGACGCTCCCGATCACAGTTGGGGGACTGGAAAGGAAAATTTTGTCTTGATGGCGATTCTGGCTCTGAATTATTTCCAAGAGGGTTTGAACGGAGTGATGACTTGCGGCGGCGCACCGGTCCAGACGCAGGGATTGCGTCTGAGAATGTGGGTTCTTCAGCGCCAAGTGCGGGCAGAAGAGACAGATCTGCTGTGTCGCAAAGATCGAACCGCGGAGGGTACTCCATGGCGGAGATCCATGGGAGACGATCAAACATAGGAACACGGCTATATACATCGAGAGGCGACTCGATACGAGGGGGAAAACGACGGCGTTTATTCATGGAGCGAGTGGTACGGGTAGACCCTCGCCTTACTGCAGCACCACAAGGCATTGGTGACTTTGATTTCTAGGAGATAAGCATCAACACCGCTCGAATAAAATAAAATAAAAATGCGCAAAAACTGACCCGAGACAAAACGCGAGGTTCATTGAGTGTGATTGGCGACAGCAGTCGCGGGGGACTTAAAAGCATTCGCGAGGGTAAAATTTCCTTACGCACAAGTCAACTCGATTTGAGAGCTAGAAAATTGCCAAGGGACCTACAGAAATTACTGTTGATGGGACGTGTGACTGACGCGTCTCCGGGGAAGGAGACTGTAACGCGTCTTGAAATAAGGCATGGGTGACGCGTCGTGGTGATGGGGCAATTATTGATGGCATTCTTGAAGATTGTGGACGATGTCGTTGGTGTCGTTGGAGGGCAAATAAAGATACAGAGGGCCGAAAGAACGTGGCAAAGCTTTATGTTTGGCCAGCGCAAGGCAAATGAACCATTATTGTGGTACTAAAATGAATGGGAACAATGGAAAAGCTGTAAACAGGCGATTAGGGTGTGTTTCGAAGCCTCAAGGTTACCGCTCCTAACCTTCCCAAAAAGGGAAACCTGACTCGCCTTGTCCACACGCTTTGCCACTTTTCATCACACACCAAGGGTACCGGTATGACTCGCGTGAGTTTCTCATCTCATTCTAGTCGGTTATATTTTTATTTTTATGCATTTTAGGAACGTATGGGTGTGCGATACTACTCCAACTCACTGGATTCAATGATAGTACCACTGGCCCTGTCAAAAAATTCATGCCGTGATACCACGACACAAATTTATAATTATCGAGAGTCATGAGGACCCTACACGTCCCCCAGAGTATCGATAAGAGGCGATACCTGTAAGTTTGTGTTCGTACCCTTCCAAGCTGATAAGACGACGGTAGATCTGCGCTCAGACTCATGGCATGAAGAGTTTTTTTACCACTTTGGAAAAGAAATCAATACCTTTTCCTCATAACGGAAGGATCATCATCTGCACGCATGAATTATCGCAGATCAGGAACACAGCAATTAGTGCCCCGCCGGACAGCCCTGGGTCAATCACGGTAGCTCTGCGCCCACCATGGGGATTAATTACGATACTTGACGTAGACCTCCGCGTTTCTCCAGGTAAGTGTAATTCCGCGGATATTTTGGGTCACGGTGGTACAGCCTCAGGTTCTTCTCCAATCTAGTTTTTTTTAATAAAACCTGAAACCTAGAAGAATCCAAGTTTGTCAACACCCTATTTGCTGATTGCGTCCGCTCTACAGGAAATCATCGTTGACGTTGACATCGCCCGCTGATGTTGATCCCACCTTTCCCCCACTGCCAATGGCATGGTACACGTTTTGCCTTTTGCTTATCGTATTTTTCATCTAGATGACCAACACTCCATCAACGTTATGATCCCCGATATTCCTCGCTATTCTATACTTGAATATACAACTTTTGCGAAATCCCCATAACGCATTCCTATTGATGATCCCACTGGAGTCCGCTCATGCACCGGAGTCCATTCTCTGTCTTGTCTTTGATCCCTATTCGCCTAGGACACTGTCTCCGCATACCATCGTCTGCAATCCGACAAACCGACAAAACTGTCATCTTGTGACCGTACGTACCCTGTGTCGACACTGAAGCCATTTCCAAGCGACGAGCTAGAGTAAGTACTCACTCATCGCGTGCACTACGGACGTAACGCTCAGACACAATTCTCGCAACCTTGGACGACTCAGATCCAGCCGCTTCTCCAGGCCTTGGGCTAAGCGCTAGACACCAGTGAGATAAGTAACTAAAACTCTCACGCCTACTTGCCGATTCACACGTGATGAAACATTCCCGTTCCCTGCTGTCACATTCAAACTTTGTCGAAGGCATCCGAAGTGTGCGTTCCATTGAGCATGTTAATATCATGATGATTACAGTTGCCGACGCGAGGACGATGCGTTACGTGCATCGAGATTGGCTAGATAAACTTTCGAGTGAATGCTTTTTATTCATGAACATACTAAAGAACTTTTAGTTATTGTCTCGTAAATGCGACCAAAAAGACAGAAAAAATGCAGCGACGACCATGACAATGATATGATGCAAGCTAATTAAAGTACACAATTATATGGAAAAACGTGGAACATCTAGTCAATCTCCTCCATCGCCGATGTCGACACGGCTTCCAATGGAGGAGGCGCACTAGAGTCTTCAGCCGGTGCCGATTCTTCGTCTTCTTCGTCGACATCGAGACCCAAGCTGATCATACGGTTGATGCGCTTGGCGAATGATGTGGGGTCATCGAGTGAGAAACCAGAGGTGAGGAGTGCGGTTTCAAACAGTAGGAAGGTGAGGTCACGGACAGACTTATCAGCCTTGTCCTCGGCGACTTTGCGCTTCAGTTCTTTGATGATGGCGTTGGAGGGGTTGAGCTCGAGGGTCTTCTTGGACGCCATGTATGAAGACATGGAAGAATCGCGAAGAGCTTGTGCTTTCATGATACGCTCCTGTAGACATGTGAATGAGAATTGCTCTGGCGTTTTAAAAGACGATACATACCATGTTAGACGACCAGCCGAACTGACCGGTGACAAGGACGCAAGGAGAGTCCGTGATACGGTTAGAGACGACAACCTTCTCGACCTTGTCGCCAAGGGCTTCCTTGATGGTCTGACAGAGGTCGTTGAACTGAGCAGCCTCTTCTTCACGTACTTTCTTCTCATCGTCAGTCTCCTCAAGTTCGAGGCCCTCTTTCGAGACGCAAATAAGCTTCTTGCCCTCGAACTCTTTCAGCTGCGTCACGGCGTACTCATCGATGGGGTCAACGAGAAGTAGGACTTCGAAGCCCTTCTTCTTGAGCACTTCAAGGAAGGGTGAGTCGCGGACAGCGGCGAGGGATTCACCGGTGAGGTAGTAGATAGATTTCTGGACCTCGGGCATACGAGTGATGTAGTCTGAAAAAATTATGAGGAAACTGTCCTGACAGAACACGCAAGATTCACTCACCCTTGAGCGAAGTCTGTTCCTCGAGGGACTTGGTGGAGAAGAAGCGGAGGAACTCAGCGAGCTTGCTACGGTTCTGAGCGTCCTCGTGAATACCAAGCTTCAAGTTCTTGCCGAAAGACTCGTAGAACTTGTTGAAGTTGTCCTTGTCCTCCGAGATCTCGGTGAACAGGTCCATGCACTTCTTGACGATGTTCTTGCGAATGACCTTGAGAATCTTGTTTTGTTGGAGGGTCTCACGTGAGATGTTAAGGGGCAAGTCCTCGGAGTCGACGATACCCTTGACGAAGTTGAGGTACTCGGGGATGAGGTCTTCACAGTCGTCCATGATGAAAACGCGGCGAACGTAGAGTTTGATGTTGTTACGCTTCTTCTTGGTCTCGAATAGATCAAATGGCGCGCTATAAACCCAAGTGAGTCAAGGTGAATGAATGTAGAAAGACAATACCGACCGCTTGGGAATGTACAAGATTGCCTTGAACTCAAGCTGACCCTCGACAGAGAAGTGCTTGACGGCGAGGTGCTCCTCCCAATCGTTTGTGAGCGATTTGTAGAAGGCACCATACTCCTCGGCATTGATGTCCTGAGGATTACGCGTCCAGATGGGCTTCGTCTTGTTGAGCTCCTCGTTGGTGGTCTCGGTCTCCTTGACCTTCTTGGTCTTCTTCTCTTTTGGCTTGTTGTCATCGTCCTCGACCTCTTCGATCTTAGATTCTTCTTTCTCATCCTTGAGTTCCTCCTCGTCATCTTCAACCTCCTGTGCGTATATGAGCGACAATAAGAGACACCTGAAATCGGCTTACCTTCTCGACCTCCTTGGTGACGGCGAGTTGGATGGGGTATGAGATGAACTCGGAGTGCTTCTTGACGATCTCCTTGATCTTCTTCTCCTCAAGGTACTCAGTCTGGTCGTCCTTGAGGTAAAGGCGGATCTCAGTACCACGACCGATAGGTTCGCCGTCTGTATCAGGAGTGATTGTGAAGGTGCCACCTGCAGATGACTCCCAGATGTACTGTTCGTCATCGTTGTGTTTTGAGATGACCTGAACACGCTCGGCGACAAGGTAAGTGGAGTAGAAACCGACACCAAATTGACCAATCATAGAAATGTCGGCACCGGAGCTGAGAGCCTCCATGAAACCCTAAGTGGGTGGGTCAGAAATCAGTCGAGGCGAATGATTTGAGGAAGGTTACCTTTGTGCCAGATTTGGCGATGGTACCAAGATTGTTGACCAAGTCAGCTTTGGTCATGCCGACACCGGTATCACGGATGGAGAGGACCTTGTTCTCCTTGTCCGGAGTGATGCGGATGTAGAGGTCCTTCTCGGTTTCGAGAACCGAGGGGTCGGTCAAGGAAGCATAACGGATTTTGTCGATGGCATCTGAACAGTTCGAGATCACCTCACGAAGGAAGATCTCCTTGTTTGAGTAGAAGGTGTCTGAGTGGGACAAACATTGAGAATAGGATGAAGCATGAAGGATATAAAGTACTAACTGATAATCAAGTCAAGGAGTTGACTGATTTCAGCTTGGAATCCAAAGCTCTCGGTTGCCATTTAGATCTGAGGGGTATGATTAGTTTAAGAAGGCGCGTCAGAAGATTGAGCTCACGGATTGGTGTATGAAAGAAGTGGAAAAGATGGGAATGACTACAGTAAAGAACGCGTTTATCTGGATGGTCCTTAAGTATCTGATTTTTTTGATATTCGAGAACCTTCGATACACGGAAATTCTCAAACCGTACACATTCCAGAACATTCGAATACTTACCTTTTATAGGGGAGCTTGGATTGAACAAAGGTTCAGGCTGTAGCCTATCACTGCCTGACTCGCTATTCAATTAGAACTTTTCACTGTTCACGGTCGCCTTGACCTTCAGAATAAGCACTGAGTAGTCTTCAACGTCGTGTGCAGACTGGCAGGATTAATAGATGAATATGATCGAGTCACCTAGTACCCGCTTAGATCAAATGCTCGCTGACATACCAACGCTTTCCAACCAGTAGCCATCATCAAATATGAAATACTTTTCTACTCGTGGAGGTTTATCAGAGCTCACTTTCGAAGAGGTAAGCAAACTCATCAATGTCCAATCCATTGATCTAGATTTTTAATAGACAGTACTTGCTGGTCTCGCCCCAGATGGTGGATTGTACATCCCTGCATCAATACCACAGCTCCCATCTAACTGGCAGGATTCCTGGGCCAACAAGAGTTTTCCCGAGCTCAGCATCGAGATCCTCTCCCTCTTCATCTCTGCAGATGAGATCTCTCAAACAGACCTCGCTGCCCTTGTACATACGACGTACAACGATTCTGCATGGCGCCATCCCGATATCACCCCGCTCCAGCCACTCACC